GGTTTTTGAGGAGAGGAGAGGGGAGGAGATGGGTGTGTTTGGTTGGGAAAAATAGAGGGGAGAGGAGGAAAGAAATTTGTCTTTTGCTACTCCCCTCCCCTCCCCATACTCCCCTCTAAATTTGGGAGTTTTTTGGAGAAGAGATAAATATTATGTCTAATATTGACCAAACTATCTATATTAACTTTTTAATATTCCAAGTTTATCCATCTTATTAAAAATATTTTTTTCACTTCTTTTTCTTTTTAGCCACTAATGATATTTGATAATATAATATTATAATATATACATATCATATATATTAATATATACATATCATAACATGTGTGTATTATAATTATATATCATAGCGCGTGTGTATTATAATCTCAGATAACATGCATATATATTAATATATACATATCATAATGTCCGTGTTATAATTATATAATATATACATATAATATATATTAATACATATATTTATAAAATTAATGAGATAGGATATTAAATTTTTTATCATATTTTCTAATTTTTTTAGTTTTTTTTATCACATATAAGTGAGGTAATTGGTTTTTTTTTTTAAATTGATAAATTAAGAAATAATAATTTTGATGTAAATATTGTAATAAAAAAAATAAATCGGTCTAAATATAGAGATAAGGGCATATTTGTTAATTTATAATTACCTCTTCTCTTCTTCTCTTATGAACCAAACAAGAAATCTTCTCTTCCTTAATTCCTTCCCCTCCCCTACAACCAAACAAAACCATGACCTTCATTCTCCTCCCCTCTCCTTCCTTTAATTAACCTCCTCTCCCCTCCCTTCCCTCGAACCAAACAAAGCCTCAAAGGCAACAAATTCTCGGTCATACACAAACACAAGGAAAGCCTCTGTACGAGCTTGCAGTGAAAGAGGCAGGATTATGTTCATTTTCATAAAATCTGTCGTTTCTTCAAGGATGGTTTCCTTTGCTAGCTTTCTTGGTTCTCTTGCATTTCTTTCGTTGAATGTAGAGTAGGTCATTGTTGTAAAGCTCAATTGGCTTATCATATTGAATGAAAAGTGTTCGCAATGACAGACTGAATCTTTTTCCAACAGTTATTATTGTTGTTGTTATTTTTCTACCATCCTTTTTCTAATAGTAGGGTTTTGGGTTATAATGCAAGCTACTAAATAAAGCCTTCTTACCGCATGATTAAAGTTGAAATGAGTTAACAGGAGATTTTAATTAAATTATCATATTTTAATCCTATCGTCACTTGTTTCAGATTCATGTCAATATGGATCCATCCATGTTATGTTGCGTAACTAGGACAAGCTTTGGCGCTAGATCGATGTTTAAGGATCGTGTTTTGTTATTCTTCTATTAGCCATGCAATGCTAGTTCGGTGGCTCTATATTGCCAGTATAATGGTCAATCGTGTGGTTACAGTTTCTATTCAAAACATTCCTTCCTAACTTTTCCCCCCAAAATTAAAAGACTTTGATCATACTTGTGTTATTTATTTCCCAAATCTAGTCGGTTTGTCTTGTACATTCTGTATTCTTTATTGGCCGCAATGAAATCTGGCTCAAATAATTTAAACCGAAATTAAACCAGCATCTACCTTTAATTTTTCTTTCTGGCTACAGAGGGGTAGCATGGTCTTTTAACAAAATTAAGAAATTTCTAATAACACCTATTCGTCTGATTTGTTAAAAGTTTAGGTCTAACTTGGAATTGTGATATTTCAACTTGATTTAATTGGAAGTCTTCCTTGTAATAAAAGCTCTCCCATAAGTGGAATGTGTATTCAATCTCACTTATGCTCGTCAGGTTTGTTCTCCTAATTCAAGGGGAAAAAAAATCAAATCAGAACAAGTTTTCTCTAATTTATTTGTCCATGAATTCATATTTATCTACCAATACCATATTTTTAATGATGTTTTTATATAATAAATAAATTGGATTTAATTCATTGAGAAACCAGCATAATATCTCACATGATTTTGAAAACTGTTTTAAAAATTTAATTTTCTCACATATTGTATATGAGTGTACTACATCATTTTTCTTTTTGCTGTATGTATTTCTTTTTAAATACATAGACTACATTCAGTTTGTAAGTACAGAGGATGCAAGCTGTACTATTTACTGCTTCGCAAGTTCCGTTGGACGTTACCTTAAAAAAATCATGTTAAGTAGTTGTGAGCTTATGAGCTTTTCTTTCTAGAAATTCTAGTGGCTGGTGTGTCACAATGTTTTATTTGATTCTTATAGCTATTGCTCTTTGGAATCTGATATTTGGCACATTATGAATCTGGAAAAGGGCAGACTGAAGTCTCAAATTCTCTTTATTGAATGGTTTGATGAAGCATATATAAATCTTTTCTAATGTTCCTTACTGTTCGTTCATTGATTCACTCCTGTTTAGTTTGTTTATCTGATGGCTTCACTCTATAGTTCATGCATTTAACTAAGTGTTCTTTTGTATAGTTCATTTGAATTTAATTAACTTGCAAAGTTGGCATCTCTCCCACTCTTGTGTAGAAATGTTGGTTTTGGATTGGCTATAGAAATAGATATTCAAATATACCAACATTGAGTCTAGTAGGAGAGACTAATCCCTTACTATGTAGCAAACTTGAATCCTTGCTCAGTAGGAAGATATCCATGCTTAGCAGAAGAAAAAAAGAAACATTCAAATAGTTTGAAAGAATTTTCTTTTTTCATATAGCTATCTGACTGGATCATATTTGAGGATTGTTAAGCCCAATTGGGAGTAGTCTTGAAAGTGTTTTCTTATGTTCGCATGGACTCAAACTTGAAACCTCGTGTTTAAACACTCAAAACCCATTTCATTATGGTCAATGCCTGTTTGGCTCGTTTGTAAGAGGGATACTTTCGATATGTTCTTTTATTTTCATTTTCAATTTTATGAACTAAAGTCATGAATTGTGAAGCACAGTATAAATAGGAGCTAGTCATGGCCAGTTTGGTGGATGGTTTTAATAGAAGACAATGAAAATTTTACTTTCTGCTCTTCAATTTTCTTGAGATTTGCAAGATTGTACATAAAAGATGCTTAAAATAGCAGCTTAAAGAATTGGATATTTTCTCTATATACCTTGTAAAAAACTCGTCTTTTAAAGACTATAGGGACTAGAAAAAACCAAGTTTCACAATGGGCATTCATACATATAATGATCAAAATAGAAGTGTTTCAGGGTCGTGTTCTTGAATTTTTGTTGCCAATGGATACAAGGCTTTCCACATAATTAAAAGTACCAATAACCTGGCCATATCTGTCAGCAATAGGAAACTTGTGGAGTTTATTATTTGTGAGATCGAAAAGATATATACCAAATTCTTCTTGATACATGCCACTTATAGAAACAGCTTCATTCCTCCAAATAGGATACAAGGGGGAGGAAGCAGCCCTACCAATAAACTTGATAAACTTGGTACCATTCATCTCTGCCCAGATCCTCCACCTGATGTAGCCTCCTCCTCCTCCTTTATCCGCAATTCAATGTTAGAAAGCAAAGCAAGTTTGTTCTCATACGTGGTGATAGGCCCTTGGTTCACAGGGATTGGGATCAACCTAAACACTTCCTTTGCAGTGTCAAATGAAAGTATGAGTCTATTATCATTCCCGCTGTTGATGTTGTTGTAGGCAAACTAATAAATAGCTTTGTCAGTGGCAGTAAATGAGTATCCAATTCTAGTATGACCTAAGTTGCCAAGTTCTACTTTCTTCCATGACCTTGTGGAAAATGAATACACCTCTACACAATGCTCTGGTGAATACAGAAGTTCATAAATTCTCACTATCTTGTAATCATTTACAACTGTGTTAAACCTGAAGCCTTCACGGCAGAAACCACCACCATTAAAGTTACTAATAACCTTGGGTATGCGATGGACCTCTCTGGTGGCTGGATTCCACAAGATAAGGTGTTAAAAGTCCTGTGTATAGTTTTAGTTGTTTATTTTTTTGGGTTTTAGTAGTTTTGGGCCTCAGCTCGTTAGGCCCATTTGATCTGTATATATGGACCCTCTCAGGTCCAGACTTCAGTTGTACAGTTCTTTCACACAATGAAATAATACATGATTTTTCCAATTTATCCGCTACTATTACGTCTTCATGGTATCAGAGCCATCTGGTTTGTGATTCAAGACTGTACTGCTTGGCCCAATTGGAGGCCCAAGATTGCTTAGGGTTTCCAAGAAAGGATCCCTCCAATACGCACCGCATGAGGTGCTTGTTCTGAGACTCTCCTAAACGCATCGCATGGGGAGCTTCATCTGAATTCTTCGTTCACCGAAAACTGACCCCACACCGCGGAATCAAGATTCCGACGATTTCTCATGCCGGGTGTCATTGCCACTTTGTATTTCGACGATTTGAACCTGCAATGTTTTTGTGATTTAGATTGGGGTGCTTGTCCTGCTACTAGACGATCAGTAACTGGTTATTTGTTGAGGTTTGGAGGTTTATTGATTGCTTGGAAGACTAAGAAACAAAACACGGTATCCAGATCCTCTATAGAGGCTGAATATAGGGCTTTGGCAACAGCTGTATCAGAAGTGATTTGGGTCATTGGATTATTAAAAGACTTAGGAATTAATCATGTAGAACTGGTCAAGGTGTACTATGATAGCAGGGCAGCAATACATATTGCTACAAATCCAGTTTTTCATGAGCAGACTAAGCATATAGAAATAGATTGTCACTTTGTAAGAGAAAAGGTGACTGATAGGTTGATTAGTTTACAGCATGTAAAATCTGCAGATCAAGAAGCAGATATTCTAACCAAACTAGTGAGCAAGGACAAGACTTCTAGCCAAGTTAGGAACTGTTAATCTATTTAGTCCCAAACTTGAGGGGGAGTGTTAAAAGTCTTGTGTATAGTTTTAGTTGTTTATTTTTTTGGGTTTTAGTGGTTTTGGGCCTAAGCCCATTAGGTCCAGACTACAGTTGTACAGTTCTTTCCCACAATGAAATAATACATGATTTTTCCAGTTTATCCGCTGCTATTGTGTCTTCATAAGGGAATCAATTTCGACTTCAAGAAGACAGACGAGGCCATAGCTGGAACCAATGATGCCGACCTGAACAAAGGGAATAACATGGATGGAAGGTGCATTCAGAGGAATAAGGGTTTTCTTGTCGGAATATTCCAGCAGACCAAACTGCAAATCGTAGGTGTCATGACGCCATTGGAGGAGAAGAGAAGGGCCACGATGATGAATTGAGTGGTGGAGGTGTTGTTTGATGAAGAGCTGGGTCTTGAAGAGATCGTTCCAACCTTTGCATACACATCGTAATCGGAGTAGAGATTTCACAGGAAGCCTTTTGAGAATGTTGACCATGATGTCGTGTGGAAGAAAGAATCCGCCTTCTTTCACTGTGCTTGCCATCAGAAACTTCGAATATGAATTGGAAAAAGAGAGCGTCCTGGGGTTCTAGAGGTTGTACAAGGACACCATGAATATACCAAGTGATCTCAATATATATATGTGTATATATAGTACCTCCGGTCTTATTTTATAAAATCCTGATTATATATTACAAACAAGATTTTATAATTAGAATTAGAGAAAGTAGTATATTATAATTATTGAATGAAGGAAAATCAAAAGAGAATCTTTGTTTTTTAACTTGTAAATCAGAAAGAGATATATCTATATCTTTTAGGTTGTTTAATCATAATCAACTATTTTGAATATATATATATGTATGATTATTACTTACTAAATCGGCATACGTATATAATAAATTTCATTTCATATAGATATTAAAATTAAATTGAATACCTTTTATCCTTCAAATTTCTTTTGATATTATGTTCTAGCACAATCATGATTATTAAAGCATTGTTCAAATACTCAAGACAATCCCTTGCGAACATTTATACCCCAGTCTTGTGGTGCTTACAAATTTGCCAACTACAAAAATATATTTTTATACAAATTAAAAAAATATCATTCTAGTACAATCATAATTATTCTTTTCTTGAGGTTAGCATCATCAAATCGAATGGCTAGCAAAAAAAATATAAAATCAAATTATGAAGCTGATGGCATTGTACGTAATAGAAGCTCTCGCACAAGTGAAATATAAATTCAATTTCTCTTATACTCATCAAGCAAGTTCTTCTAATTCAAGGGGAAAAAAAATCAAATTGGACAACATGTTCTCTAATATATTTGTCCATGAATTCATATTTTAGATCTTTTTTTTTTGGGGGATAAAGTTTTAAATTCTTTGTATATCTCGCAAAAATAAAGTGTACTTCTATAAAAGTTTGATTTCAGAAAAATCATCTTAGAAATGCTTGCTTACCGTATTTTTAATGATTTTTTATATAATGAATAAATTGGATTTAATTCATTGACAAACTAGCGTAATATCTTACTTGACCTTGAAAACTATTTTAAAAATTTAATTATCTCATATATTTTATACCAATGCAGTGCATCTTTTTTTTGCTGTATCACTTTTCAAATACATAGACTACTACATTCATTTTGTAAGTGTAGGCGGTACCATTTACTGCCTAGCAAGTTCCTTTGGACGTTACCTTAAAAACCCATGTTAAGTTGTTCGCTTATGAGCGTTGCCTAGAAATTCTGGTAACTGGTGCGTCACAATGTTTTGCTGATTTTTGTAGCTCCTGATTTCTAATCCTCTTTGGAATCTGGATATTTGGCACATTATGAGTCTGAAAAAGGGCTGATTCAAGTCTCAAATTCTCTTTGTTGGATTGTTTGATGAAGCATATTATCTTTTCTAATGTTCCTTACTTTTCATTCATTAATTCACTCATGTATTTAACCAAGTCTTCTTTTGTATAGTTCATTTGAATTTAACTTGCAAAGTTGGCATCTCTCCCACACTTCTGTAGATATCTTGGCTTTGGATTGGCTACAGAAATAGACATTCGGTACCATGCATTCCCACGGACTCGAATTTAAAACCTCATGTTTAAGCACTCAAAACCCCTTCCATTATGATCAACGTTTGTTGAGTAGTTCGTAAGAGGGATATCTTCTATGTTCTGAATAGTTACCAGAATCTTTTTTTTTTTTTTTCATTTTCAATTTTACGAACTAAAATCATGAATTTTGAAGAACAGTGTAAATAGGAGCTGGCCATGGCCAGTTTGGTGGATGGTTTTAATGGAAGACAATGAACATTTTACTTTCTGCGCTTCAATTTTCTTGAGATTTGCAAGATTGTCCATGAAAGATGCTTAAAATAGCAGCTGTAAAAACTTGTCTTTTAAAGACTATAGGGACTCCAAAAGACCAAGAAGTTTCACAATGAGCATTCATACATATCTACCCAATATTTTTTTGTGCGCTTTTCCCCCAGGATTCTGATAAAGAGTTCCTGAATACAAATCGCCATCCTTTTTCAAAGGGGTGATTGATTGTGTTGAAGAAATGGTCATTTAATAGGAATCCAAAGGTGATGATTCAGCCGGCACCTTGTCTTGCTGGCGCAACCTCCTAAGTTCACCTTCAAGTGCCATTTTTGCAGAATCTGCCATCTCTGCATTCTTTAGAGCCATCTCTGTTGCTGCTTTTATTTCCTCAATTGCCTTCAGATTGGCTTCCAACTTCTTGTCTGCTTCACTTTGTCTTGCCTTGATTGCCACAACCTGAGTTATTGCAGCCAGCTCTGCCTTCTCCACAAGATCAGCACATTCCTTCACTTTCCCTGTCACTGACTCAAACTTATCAACAGATAGTTTGATCTTACCATGATCTTCTGAGTTTGGTACATCACTAACTTGATTCTTGTTGTTTCCTTGCATCTCAGACAAGATCTTCATCTCCTCAAGGGCTCTTTGCTCTGCTGCTTTCACTTCTTCGGCCTCTTTTAGCACAATCTCCAGCTTTGTTTCCAGTTCTTGAGCCAAAGCTCGCGCGTTCTCGGCTTCTTGCTTCAGATCGTGTGTTCTCTGGTTCTTCTCTTCTGCTTCCCTTTTTGCAGTTTCTGTTTCTTCTGTTAGCTTCTCTATTTTCATTCTTTGTTCATGAAATAATTTAGAAGCTTTTTCCAACTCCTCTATATTTGCTTCTCCCTTGCTCTTTTGTAGTTCATCTTTAATGTAACTGGCAAGAGCTTCTGATTTTTGTTCCTTGTCTTTCAAGATTCTTTGCTCAGTCTTCACATTTTCTAATTCATCCTTTAACAAAGCCACTAGGTTTCTCAGAGAGCTTTCTTCTTCAGCAACTTCTCCTAGTGTCTTTGTGGCTTCTTTGAGTTCTGAAGTTATAGCTCTTGCAGCTTCCATATCAGAAGCATGTTCCTTCTTCATCTGTTCTTGCAAAACTTCAATCTCTGCACTTGTTTCAGCAAGTTTAGCCTCAAGATCTTCTGTATTCAATTCTGGGTCATATTCCTTCATCAAAGATTCCATCTTTGCCTCTGCTTCTTCCTTACCATTCTTGTAAGAATCATATTGAGCTTCTCTCTCTGCCATGGCCTTTGCTTGTTCCTCTTGAGTCTGCAAAGATGCAAGCTTTAACTCCTCAACAGATGTTTTCATGGCTGCAATCTCATTCGAGAGCTCGCTGATCCTTTCTGAGTTCAACTTGGCTGAACGTTGAGCTTCTCCGGCTGTCTGAAACGCCGCCAGCTTCGCCTCTAAAGCCGCATCAAAATCTTGCCTGATCTTGGTCAGTTCTTGCTTGGCAGCATCAAGTTCTTTCACAGTGGTTGTGTATTCTTTTCTTGCATGCTCGAGTTCTAGCTTCCAAGCTTCAAAGCCCACTTCTTTCTGGGACTTGGCCCTTTCAAGCTGCTTGGCCTGATTCTTCACAGCTTCTGCAGCCTCCATGGCGGCTTCCTTGGATTCTCTAACATTTGTCAGCTTCGTTGTGAGATCTTGAAGTGTCACTTTTGCCTTCTCAAGCTCAGCAAGCGCTTTAGATTTTGTGGTCTCAGCACTCTCCAGCTGCTTCTTTATCTTGTTCAGTTCTCTCTGTGCCAACAGAAGCTGCGTCTCCTTTTCTAGTACATTCTGCAAATCATACAAAAGATGCTCTCAACAACATTATTATTTGCAAATGTGTCCTTTGAAAGGCCATGCAAAACAAGATTTCCTCGTATTGGCTTGAGAAATAAAAACCAATACCACGTCTCAAAGAATGCAACCACAAAGTTTGAAATGTGACATCATGGTATGAGAGAGTTTTAACGTTAAAATGTGTGGTTGATGATGAACATGGTTATGTTTCATAGAGGGTTTGATGCTTACCTCGGATGATCTTCTCCTGACAGAACGTTTTTCCTTGGAAACAGCAACTTCACCGAATAAACTGACAGCAGCTTTCACAGATTGAAATGGCGCCCTTGTGTCGATCTCTCCAACCTCTCCCCTCGGAGAACTCATGTCCTTCTGTGAATCCATTTTCCTGAAGTTTACCATTTTCTCTGCTTCTTCTTCCCCTCCTGAACACGATGATCTTTCTCTGCGTTACCCAAAAACGAAAACGAAAACCAAAAAAAACTGTCGCAAATGAGCCATGAAACACATAATACTATGACCAAAGGGCCGATCATCATCAAAATGATGACTAATTACCTTAAAGTTTGATGTTTCTGGAGACAATGATGATGATGATTGAAGTGCAAGAAGCCAGATGATGAATTTTTTAAGGGAGGAAGATGGTTGGACCTTGAAAGAAACCCAGACAGAAAACACGCAGGTTTCTTTTATGTCCAACGTTTGGATTATGAGCATGAGAGGCTTTAGGCCTTTGAAAAAAAGAAAGTCTCCAAAATATGACTGGTTTGTGAATTGGCTTTGCTATTTTAGCGTACAAGAACGCAGGTTTGTGGTGTGATTAGAACAGTAAATGTTAACCGTACAGGGTAGCAAGATTATAGAAGATAAGAGAAAATAAGACATTATTTTCTCCCTCTGCAATTGAGAAATTCATGGAGGTATTTGTGGAGATGAAGGCAGATCTTTAACATGCCACGCTGGACATTTCATGGTGAAATTGGTTCAAAAATTTATATTATAGGCATGCTTGGTCTATAAAAGGAAAATATTTACTTTACTCTCAAACTAATATTATTATCGGGTTAATATGATTAGGCTTCGTATTTTGAGAAACATTATTTTTGTTTAAAAATTTAGACAAAGTCATGAATTTTTTTGTAAAGAAAAAAATCAAATGATCATGATAAAATATAAATGGTAATACTATTGTGGGCTCAATATTTTAAGAGGATGAAAATAAACTTATACAAAAGATAAATTTTCACTTTTAAATTTTAATAATAATAACTTAATGTGACATTTTTAAAGTGAGATTCTTGATTATTAATATCAGTGTCACTTTCGATATAAAATCCCTTTTTATAATATTAATACAGAATATTAAATAAATCTTATACATTTAGTGTCGTTGTTTTCACTTTTTAATTTGATGAAGTATAATTAATATACAGCAATAAAAGATTTTATGTAATTTTGTTTTTAAAAAAAAATGAGATCTAATTATCTTACAGATATACTCCCTCGAAAAAAAATAAAATAGTTCTATTAATTAGATCTTTTGATATGTAGAAATATATACTACTCGTACTTCTAATTTATTATTCTATATTTTCAATTTTATCATAATCCTCCTCTGGCTTCTCGTTTCATTTACCTCTGATTATTATAATTTAAACTTGCAAATTTCACAAACAAATGTTTGTTTTATAAGAGAAGTCTCATTCTCATTCAATCACATTCACTAACCAATAACATCCCTACATCCTTAGAAGTTAGATAAATAAATTACCTCCGGTCCTAATTATAAGAGCTAGTTGACTAATTTGAGGAGATTAAAAAAATAAGATTAGTTAGTTATTTGTAATAAATATGTATTGTCTTTCCTAAAATATCTTTGTTAATCAAGTGTATTAGTTAGAATTACCATTATTAGAAGGACTACCTTGAAAATATATATATATAAATATAAATATGAGAGATAAAGTGGATAGGGGTATTATATTTAAGAGCACAATAAAAGTCAGATGAGATCTTATACTAAGGACCGCACGTAGTACAACACAATGCAAGATGTAAATCAGAAGTATAACCATTCTTTCTTCAACAGAATCACAATACATTTTATTCTCCAACCATCCTTACAATGAAGAAAGTCCAACCCTGGAAACTGGCCTGCAAAATGCAAAAAACTCCATAATCTTTTCACATTTGTTTACAAAAGGCAAAGACCATTAACATTTACTTAATTTCGAATTGCTAATGATCATTATACAAAATAGCTAAACTGTTAATCATCTTTCCTTTCCTATAAAAGACTCAAATCTTTTCCCTCTCATTTGAGGTGTTTCATTGACAGCCAAAACCCACTTTAACTGTAAAGCCTTTCTATTAGGTAAATATTCATGAATAATACTACTATTTAACATAATCACTACGCCAAAACAATTAAAAGAGAATTTCCCTTCTTCAGGACCTTATCTTAATAACTCTAATATCAACTCTGGAATTGAGTTGTCTTGCCAGACTTAAAAGGGGAAAAAAAGATTACATGTGCTCAAAGACGAGAGCAGACGCCCCTCCCCCTCCATTGCAGATAGTAGCAACCCCATACTTCCCCTTCTTTTGTCTCAATACCTGCGTCACAAAACTTGACTAACACATCCTCAAATTTGAAAAATAATAATAAATAACACTCTCCAAGGATAAGAGCTTTATTTCCAAATTCAGTTTATGCTGGAGTTGTAGAGACCCAAAATTAGAGAATTTATAATAGCAAAAACTTACCAATTAATTGTGAAAATGAGAGTTATAGACCCTTAACTATGAACTTTTAAATATAAAAGTATCATCAAGGACCATAGAAATACATTACTTTATGTGCTTCCTAAAATTACCACTCATATACCTTAAAATTACAACATGATCTTCAGATATTATAGAACTGGTTTTTTCATGTATAGATAATAATAAATTTAAAACATCTTTTTAACATTAGGGATTATAGACGGTAATTTTTTTTTTTTTCAAATTACATGAATGGACAATTAGAAGTTCAACAAGTTACATAAGCTGCCGGTATAAAACACCAGCCTTATCATTCTCAGCTAGTTGAAGACATCATAACGGAGGTTGGTTCGTTGAACTATATATAGGAACTATCAATATTGCTCTGAGCAAACTTGGCTATAGCGCATTCATTGGCTTCCCTAACTGAAAGTTACTTCCCTGATGAATCAAATTTCTCCTTCATAATAGTTATCCTTCCTCTCGTTTCTGATCAGCATGTTATATCCTCAGCACAATCTGTGAAAGTTTTAGTCCGCCCCCATCCCAACCGTTTACACATCATGATACCATAAGACCTCTGATTCCTCCATCAGTAATTCTAAGAAGCACCAATAGTAACTTATTTCTCTGGTCTTTTAGAGGAGTCTTAATTTTATTAAGGTCTTTAACTATCATTAATAAAACTTATGGTTCTCAAATGTTGTTTTTTCTTACTAATTAGTGAAGTATAGAAGAGGAGCAAATCGAGGTTAAGAATTACCCCTAACAGTGTTACTAAGATACGAGCTCCACTGCAGCCCAAGGGGTGTCCCAATGCTACAGCTCCACCATGCACGTTAACTTTCTCCTACGTTGAATTCAAAAGGCACAATCATCTATCAGATTTAAGCCAGTACCATATAAGGACGGGATAGAGAAAAAAAGAAGCAAGAAACAGCATATCAGCAGGCAAAAAAGATTTCATCCACCAAAAGAGCGGCAGTACCAACACTCACAGGATTAAGACCAAGAAGCTTTTGATTCGCAAGAACTACAACCTGCATAGAAAATGACAATGCAGTATGAGATGACTAAAATTTTCACTCATTTTATTTTGTAACAGTGTGATGATTATATGGGAATTAAGGTTTTTAATTTAGGGAATTGAGATAACATTTGGGATTTGATCAAATGCTTTTGGGCATAGCGTTCCATATCTAGTATCCTTGTAGGATGAGGACACCCATTCTTTTCAGATTTTATTTTGGCAGCTTATGAATAGGCATATCTAGTAAGTCATTGCCGATGGCCATTATTATAAAAACATTGAATTGATCTTGGAATTTTGAGGATTTATTTCCTTGTCTTTTACTCCCTTTCCTGTTCCAGTCAAGATTCGACAATACAGGTACAAAATCCTAAAATATGAGTAGAATGTATTCTTACAGAGAAGGCTTCGTTTATTTCATAATAATCAATTTGAGAAGCCTCCAAACCAGAATTTGATATGGCTTTTGGTATTGCGAGAGCCGGCGCAGTTGTGAATACCTCCGGTGCCTGCCAAGAGAACCTCACTTCAGCTTTGAGTTGTTCATTTTAATCAAGGCCAAGACAAGTTCCAATAACCAGTCATAGCACCTGAGCTGCATCTGCATATCCCTTTATCTTAGCTATTACTTGCAATCCAAGCTGAAGCACCTTCTCTCCGCTCACTAGCACTAATGCGGCAGCGCCATCACTGGTCAAGTCAATACATTAATTATCAATTAAAGAGCAAGCAGTTAAGAACTTTTATGATTACGATATCCTTAAATTACAGCATGGTGTACAATCAGCAGTCAAACTTCTTGCAATGAGGTAATGGGTTGTTCCCACAAAATTTACATGGGTATCAATAGAAATCTGCATTGGAGCCAACCCATAAACCCGACTAGACTAATTAAGCATAAGTTTTAGTCCATTACACTGAGGGCTGACACAGGCCATGTCACATGACAAGGGACCAGAATAACGATTGACTTCAGCTCTAGTTCTAGGCATAAACCTCACTGACCTAGTCAATAAGCAGGACTACTTCTGATATGCCAAGTATGCAGAGAGACGCATCATAAGGGAAGAGAAAGAGGACCTTATGCTAGAAGCATTGCCAGCAGTTACAGAACCCAGATCCTCCTTGAAGCTTGGCCTAAGCTTCTTTAGCTTTGCAGCATCAAACTAGAGACAATTAAACAGATTATGAGAGATATCAAGCAAAGTGCATAAATTCACATCGTATTCCAATTTGAAAGAATGTCATAAGGACCATGGATCAAGTAAATTCCAAATAAGGATTACCCTAAAGGCTTCTGTAGTTCAGAGCTAGCAAACTGTACTATTTATAAGTCATAAAAAGGGCAGTTCACCTCAAACTCCATGCAATGCAAGGGGAAACATGTTTACTTAGATGAAAATTTGTACGCCCTATCTATTTACCTTTCCCAAACATTCATCTTTATCAATAAAGGTGAAGGACTTCCCTCTTCCTGCAGAGACTTCAACCTGAAAGTGCAGATAGCGGCATGGAAACCACATCGAAACCATTGCATATTCTCAACAATGTAAAATGATTAGGAATTGGAAAATCAAACCGGAACTATCTCCCATGTAAAATGACCAGAATTTTGAGCAGAAATTGCTCTCCCGTAGCTTTCTATCGCATAAGAATCCTGAAAAGCAACACAGTGCGGTGGAATGGAACAGAAATATAAAACTTGGATTGCAAGACAAACAGATGTGAAAGTCGGGAGGACTAATGACATGTAAAATGGTGGTAAAACCAAAACAAAAAGGGACAACAACTGACAACGCCAAGCAACTAGATACCAACACAACAAGCAAAAAGGATGTTGATAGTAATTCAGGGCAAAACTAAATGACCTAGTGAAAATAATTAATAATATCGATAAAAAGAATGAGAGAATGAAATACATTAAAGAATTTTAAAATACAGTCCGCCAACGAGTAATACCTGCTCCTCTCTTGTTATGTCATGAAGATCAGCACATAGCTCAGCACAAACACCCATACCGAAGTCATTATAAACATCCCAAAGGCCATCCTTGATCATACCATCAACGATAGTATCATGCCCTACCCGAGATCCCTTCCTGTTTTAGACACAATATATACAGAACATGTTGAGATTATTAGCAACCAAACATGCAAACCAAGTCAAGATTTTCTGACGTGAGACTCAAGTTCCATACTTTGCTACTCGGTCCTAATATATACTTTTATTAACCAAATCTCCAAATTAACTTCTTGAAATACTACCAAGTGATTGATTAATTATAAAAGAAGCAAAATAAACATCAACCCAAAATAGCAGCAAAAATAATTCCTCCTGTTATCCCCAACATATTCTTTCAGCTCTCTAAAGCCAGAACTTTTTCCAAAGAGAAAATGTATCATTCTTTCAGTAATTTAAGAAAGAAAGGAAAACCTTGCTTGTACCATATACTTGGGTGCATTAGACATGCTTTCCATACCACCAACCACGACAACGTCATGAATGCCCGATTGTATTGTCAGCGCTGCAAGCATAGTAGCTGCAATGAAGAAAAAAATAAATAGAAACATGACTTCACCTCTCATTCACAACAATTCAAACTTAAATTAAAGTGAGATGATCTCTTAATATATAAAATAAAGCCTACCTTTTATACCTGCTGAACAAACTTTGTTAATAGTAGTGCAGATTACAGATGAAGGTATGCCCGCACCTAAGGCAGCCTGTCTGGCAGGGGCTTGCCCTAAATTTGCAGCGAGAACATTCCCAAAGAACACCTCTTGCACGAGTGATGGATCTACATTTGCTCTCTTGAGAGCAGCTGCAGTTTCAAACATGGAAACTAACATGAATCCATTGACCCACCAAACTTCAAGATACAAACAACATTATCCCGTACTAGTACAAATAGGAAGAGCTTTTATTGTTTCATTACGATGGAGTTTCTGATTGCTCGTTTTATTTCTATTTAGGTTGCTTTCTTTTTGGGTTAGACGTGTCCTCGCCATGTGAGGGTCTATGTTCAGCACATCTCCAAGTCGAAAGGATAACATTTTCTAAATGATGATAAAGCTGCACACTTATCGAACACAGGTGTCGACTGCCTGTTGTGGCAGTTCATGGTGATCACCAAACACAAATTTGTAGCTCAAATTATAGGGGGAAACATATTTTCCTGCTAAAATTTACTGAATTATACTCTCCCCAGTGATGTGTTAAAAATAGAGTAAGTTCAGTAGTTTTACACTTAATTGCTATAGAACCAAGCTCCGTCGCTGAAATAGATGAAAGAGTGCCAAGGAAAGCACCGATTGGCGTCCGCGCGACACCAACAACACAGACATCTGTAATCAGATACACCCAGAAGACCCGAGCTCAGCAGAGGATGAATAATTAATAAAAAGACTTTAACTTGGGAAAACTATTGATATGAATTAGTTGTTTTTCTAATATGCAGTAGCTAACTACTTTAAGGGAATATACCAGCAAGCTAATTAAGTCCAAAAAGATGTTGCTTATGAATTTATGTGATGATATGATATAGATAAATGATGATTCTGTCAAATCAAACCAAACCTCGTGGCTTTACAGAATCAGGGCCAGGAGACATTGAATCGTCGGGAAAGACCCTCAGATCAGAAAGGAGAAAGCTCTTGACAACAAAAGCATCAATGAATGATCATGATGTTAGAAGTGTGAGTAAAGACGAGGCTGGCAAAATTTGAGTACATGATAGAAAAAGGTACTAAAGTAAGCTGATCAATAATCGAGAATAGCTACAATTGCCGACAAAACACAACTGGGGTCACGGTATTCCATAACTTCTTTTTTTGCTTTCTTCTTTCCTTACTCGGTCTTTACCTACAATATCCTGCTGGAGTTAGGATCCAAGTATACCTTTTACAGATAAGATTCAAGCATTGCATCACCATGTCGTGGGACTACCTCCTTCCCCTAACGTCAACCTTTGTTGATAATTCCTTATTTTCTTTTCTTTTTTTTTGGGTGGTAATTCCTTTCTTTCTTTTGATGTACCATACCTTGTCTTTTTTTTTTTTTGCCAAAACAAGAGTCCATTTTATTAAAACTCAAACAAACAGATACACACGCTAATAGCCACTTAAGGTCCAAAAGGAAAAATGCTCAAAAAGTCCTAGGAGTACAACCTACCACACAACTGAACCAAAACAAAAAAACAGCAACAAGAAAACAAAAACAGAAAGAAAACACCGAAATCAAACAGAAAGAACAAGCAAGGGAGCACAAGCCAAGAACAAATCAGCCAATACCACATTTCTCAAAGCTATCACATATTCCTGAAGCAGCAATACTGGTATCTAGGCTTCTACAAGAGGTGCGTTCATTAGCCTTGAATAATTCCCACCTTTCCAGGTCCACGGCCAAAGCCTTCTCCAGGAGGGGTGTTGGTTTATCAACCCACCCATAAGGGTACACTCCCTTTCTACAACTAACAGCAAGACAATCTGCTGCTTCATTACTCTTCCTTGAAACAAGAGTAATTTCTACACCACTCAAATCATTCAAGGCCTCAATTACCTCCTGCATTTCCCATCTACCATTCCAAACAGCATAATCTACTGATTTATTCTTCCAGCACCAAACGATTTATGAGCAATCAATCTCAATTATAGCATGAGACATATTCAACTCTTTGATAATAAGCACAGCTTTCCTAACAGCAAGGACTTCAGACAGAAAAGCCGAATCTGCCTTAACTCCTTCATCGAATCCCCATAGGAACAAACCATTTTCATTTCTACAGACTAAACCGATAGCAGCCATGTCTGGGGTAAAGGAGCCATCACAATTAATTTTAACCATACCTACAGTTGGGGGACACCATACTGAACATTGATCTTTTTTCTTCATCTCCTCTTCTCTATCTATCTGCCACCCTTTTGCTCTCCAAAACTCCCTTATTGCTTTATCTGCAGCATTCACGACCTTAATGGGATCAGGTTCTTTGAACTCAAACACTCCACTATTTCTTTCCTTCCATATCAACCAGATAATCCACACCACATAAGCAAGTTAGAAGTCATTCAGCAACACATCATCATATAAAATCTTTTTTATCCAGCGACCAAAACTCTGGAATTTACAACTATCAACCTTCCAGGTTAATGTAGAAGCAAACCATACACACTTTACCCATGGACATAAGAAAAGGGTGTGTTCAAGTGTCTCTATTTCTAATTTACATACTGGGCATAATTCAGATGTTCTGCATTTCCTTCTCACCAAAGCTTCATTCACTGGTACTGCACCTACCAAGCTTCTCCACATGAAATTTTTAATTTTAGGCAGCACCCTCAATTTCCACACTTAGTTCCATATATCATTTGGTAGTGAGAAGGAGCTTCTCGCTCTACCATCAATCACATTTCTTCTTGACCTTGCCTCCACATAACCTTTCTTCACAACATAAAGTCCATTCTTTGTTTTATCCCAAATAAGCTCATCCGTTCTTTGGAAATGATCAGATCCAATACTACAGATTTTTTGTAAGATTTCCACAAAAATCAAAGGTTGCAGATTACTCATATTCCACCTGCCATCTATTATCAAATCAGAAACGATCCACTTTTTTGCTTCTTCCGGGACATTCACTATATCAGCTAACCTTCTCTTCATCTCTAGTATCCATCTATCAAACCACACATTTACCCTTTTCCCATCACCAACTTTCCAGAAAGTATTCTCCTTCAGCAAATTTCTACCATCCAGAATGCTGGACCATAGCCAAGATGCTTTATGGCCTATTTTGGCATTCATAAATGGAGTATTAGGGTAATAAATTCCCTTCAGCACCTTTACCCACATTTCCTCTTCATTGTTCATCAATCTCCAAGCTGTTTTAGCCAATAAAGCATCATTCATTGCTTCAAAGTCCCTGAATCCCATTCCTCCATCCTTCTTAGATCTGGTCATAGAGCTCCATGCCTTCCAATGGATCTTCCTTCCCTCTTTCCCCTCATTCCACCAAAAATTCGCTATCATTCTGTCCAGATCTCTGCAGGTCTGTTTGGGAAACTTGAAGCAATACATAGGATACATAGGCACAACATTGATTACTGATTTTATAAGTACTTCTCTTCCAGCCTGGCTCAACAATTTACTGCTCCACCCTTTGATTTTCCTACCAACTCTATCCTTAATATAAGCAAGGGCCTAATTCTTTGGTTTTCCCCATACATTAGGAATTCCTAAGTACTTGCCCGGCTCTTCTATGTCCTCAATCTTCAAAATATTGCAAACTCTTCTCCTTACTTCTCCAGGAGTATTTTTTGAGAAAACTACTCCAGATTTAGCAAAATTTGCCTGCTGTCCAGATACAGAACAATAATCTTCCAGAAGCTGAGCTAACTTCTTACAATAACATTCCTTAGCATCCATGAAGAATAGTACATCATCAGCAAAGAAACTATGTGTCAGCATGGGGCAAGAGTTTGACAGTTTAATACCTCTTAAGAGACCCATCTCCACATTCTTCCTGATCATACTCGACAGAACATCAACAACCAGGATGAAAACATATGGGGAAAGGGGGTCTCCTTGCCTTAAGCCTCTTCCTGGACTGATCTTTGCCACTCTCCTACCAGAAAGACATAGGTTGAGTTTAACTGAAGATATGCATTTCATAACCAGATTAATCCACTTCCTACAAAAACCGAATTTGAGAAGGGTAGCTTCCACAAAATCCCATTCCAGCCTATCATAAGCATTGCTCATATCCATTTTCAAAGCAAAATCACATCTCACACCATTCCTCCTTCTCCTCAAGAAGTGAAATACCTCATGAGCAATAGTTACATTATCATGAATTAATCTGCCTAGGACAAAAGCTCCCTGGTTTCTTGAAATGCAGTTGGATAGAAACGACTTGAGCCTATTTGCCAGCACCTTAGAGATTACCTTATAGACAAAGTTGCATAGACCAATAGGTCTAAACTGATTCACATCCTCAGGTCTGTCTACTTTTGGAATCAGTGTCACATTGGTTTCGTTAATGACAGTAATATCACCTTTTCCTTCAAAGAAGTCCCTGACCATCAACCAAATTTCTTCCTTCACCGTCTCTCAAGAACTCTGATAAAATCTCCCACTAAATCCATCAGGCCCAGGCGCTTTGTACCATACCTTGTCAAATTGTGCTTTTTTCTTTTTTTTTCCTAACTCGAAATCCAATAAGCTCCTAGTCTTACACTTAGTGTCAAATGATATTACTTGGTGATCTTTACCGTGAATCAACTTAATAAGTCCGTTAAATATAATCAATCATTTAAATTAGTAATTAGCAGACATACATATATACATGTATATAATTTTATAGCTCGCTGGTCAAAAAAAAAAATTTTATAGCTCATTAGAATCAAAATAGAGAAAAAATAAATTTTAGAAAATCTAAATTTTCTTTTGTAAAAATAATGATATAAAATATTGAAGTAGGGCGGTCGATTAATGGTAACATTTGGATCAAAATACTTCTTAGAATGTATGTTTTAAAGTAAGTTCGTTGTAGATCAAATCAAACTACTATCTCTAATCTTTAATATAAAAACTAGTTAACTATTTGAATAGATTAAAAAAATTAGTTAAATTAGTTATTTGTAATAAATAAGTGTTAACTTTTCTAAAATATTATTGTCCATTAAGTGTATTGGCTAAAACTATTATTATTATAAAAACTGTCTTAATAAAAAATAGATAAATATGAAAAAATAAAATAGATTGACTTTTTATCTTCAGGATATGAGCTTTTATATCAAGGACGTAGTATATTTATATCTAGAGAGAGCAGTAGGATTCATGCCATCAATTACATGGAGTTTGCCACAGTTAAAATTCGAAGTGCTCGAGGCAACAAAATCCTAAACAGGATCGCTTCAAAAAAGATGTAATCCAAAGCATTTCCTAAAAACATTTCAGAGCCAGTCATAAAACACGCCTAAATGTGAGATTGATGCGCGTAGCTTCAGCTTTTGCTCGCTTAGGCACAGAATGGAGCCAATCCCGTTGTGTATAACCTCTCATCACCAGAAGTGATCCATGCTTGAGTGTAAATGTATGTTGATCAGCATGATTGTTCTTCTTTAATCGCTTCTTCGAAGGTTCACCGCTTCCCTCTACACATCCAAACCAAAATATTATTTTTCCTTCTGGGAACAATTCTGGCTTTTGTGTTACACAGACAATGTACTTCATTATCCAGGTATACAAAAACGCAAAATATATATAATCAAACACGACTAAAGTTGAAGGACTGTGTGTCAATATGATAGAGGGACCTTTCAACCCAGAAATATAAAACTGGATTTTAGGGGTCTGTTTGATTCTGTTAGGGTAATGCAATGTGGTTTGAAAATCTCAAACTCAATACTCGATTCGTTTTCATTCAAATGATAATTTATAATATTAAAATAAATAAATGAAATACCATTATGAATTAAAAACAATGTAAATAATCAAATAAGTTTGAAATTTTATTTAAGAAAGTGTGAGCAAAACACAGATGAGGGAACAGATTCTCATAACAGGATCAAGCAAGCCTTAGATCATCCTAATCATTCAGAAGACAGAAATAGAAAAGTACAAAATCAATGTGGAACTGCAATGCTAAATTAAATTCACTAAGACAGAAATACAAACCATTAGATCTTTTACTTGGTTTCCTCTTCAAAATGAACTCACGTTCACATCCAAAAGACAGTGAAGCAATTTCAGGGGCTGGTCCATATAGCTTCTCATCATCAGCATGCCAACCCACATAGTCATTACCGCCTTTGTACCTATTTAAGAGTATGCTATTAAAACTACTCCCGGGAAGAGCCTTATGAACCTTCAGAAATAAGGGAGGTATTAAGTGCTGTTAACGAAGCCTACCAAATTTATCAAAATATTAACAGCACTTAGAACAGAAAATTTTCATGAGTCATACTGCACCCAAGATATCTTTCAGTGGCGGGTAATCATCCCAAGAATAAGCATGTGGTTGATATCCACTGTAACTCAATTCCGTCAATCCTGGAGCTGCAACATAACACATGTCTCTAGGCTGCGGCAAATTAAACAACATGAAAAGCAAGAAGTCCCAATGTTAACCAGATGTATGAAGAATAAAACTGTTTAAGGAGATTACGGTTGTTGCATAATACATAATTAAAAGAAATTAGTTTTACGATCAAATAACAGCTTTCTCAGAACTTTGTGTGAGGGCCGTCTGTATCAGTAATTACCCATGTGGGGAAAACCCAAAAGGGTGGTCATATAAATGGTCATGATACCAATAATTTCCTTCTCGCTTGAATAAACAGAATTCAGCTAAATATTCAATTACACTCAACAAAATTTTAATGAAAATGATCAATCTTATGACATGAGCTCTGTATCATGCAGTGTCAAGGCAAAGCCAATAGCACATTCTCGGACACTGATAACAACAAAGTACAACAGTGACGCAGAAAGTTTCACAGAAGTTCCAATCGCAACCAAAATTTCTTTTTTGACAACTCAATATTAATGTAATTGGTTTCACATTGAAAACAACCAAACCCAAACAAGCAATTCAACAACTGCGAGCGGACAGCAGATGTAATGTTCCATAAAATCACTTAGACTGCAAACTTCTTTATCAACCGATGGTGCGCTAATTATTTTTTTAGTACAATAATAAGCAAGCAGTTGCTTATACATAAAATTTCATCTTTGTCGAGGTTATTCAAGGACTGTCACAGGCGTATAGAGAAGCAAATATCTTTATTTCCATAACAAATATTCAGGAAGTTAGGCACTAACTTTGTTGTCCATAACAATTATAGTAATAATGGTAACAGTAATATTCATACATGTTATCGGAAAAAATAGTGACATTCATACAATAATATCCAAATGCCTTCTGTCAACGAAGTGATCCGTTCAGAAAATACGTGAAGGTTTGAAACAGAGAGACAAATAAACGATCAAAAAGAGAGGAAAATAATAAAATTAGAGTTAGACGGACTAACTTGTCTTTGGGTCAGAATCCCTAATCCCTAACTTCAATAAATAATAACACATGCATCGTAGCCATAGGGAAAGGAAAGAGAGAGACCTGAATGCAAGATCTTCCAAAGACGCGAAGGATAGGTCTGGTCCACGGGATATGCTTATTGAGGTAATCGAACCACATCCATGACTGATCCAAGGGAATGAACCTCCGGAAGTGTATGACTTCGCTGGCGTTTCCAAGATCGATAATGTGCTTCTTCAAAGTGTCATCAGGATTATCCTCGTCAGAGAGTGTAGACACCGCCTTCAACTTGAATAGATTCATCGGAGTCACGCCGGCAACCGCATGTATTTACGCGCCACTTGGGGTTAGAAAGCCTATATCGTTCTTCGTTTTCCCGCTTTCTCTATGCCTATTCCTTGTTGGGTTGGGCGTGGGGACAATTCCCGCTTTATCTCTCTTTTTTAACAATACTTATTGATTATTAATATTATATAGGGTGGTTTGGATTGACCGGGAAAAAATAATTTATTTTTAATCTGACTTTTAAAAAAATAAAATTGAGTAAAAGTTAAATTAGAAAAAGTAAATTATATTTGAATTAGAGTTTAAAAAAGTTAATTTGTAAAAGTGAGATTAATAAAAAGTTGTTTGAATTATGATTGATTAAAAGTAAATTTGTTTGAAAAATTACCAAAATAGGTATGAACTTTAATAAATAATAAAATGACTAAATTAAAAAAACAAGTTAAATTAGTTATTTATAATAAATATGTGTTGTCTTTCCTAAAATATCTTTACTAATCAAATTTATTGATCAAAACTACTATTATGAAATAAACTATCTTAAAAAAATTAAATAAATTTTAGGGATAAAGTAAATTAGTGTCTTATATTTAAAACCAAAATAAAATTTAAACTAGATTTTATAGTAAGTGGATTATATCTTATATTAAGGATCAGAGGTAATATTTTAAAGGAGACGACGGATCTTTTTTTCCCCACTTTAGTTATGCTTGCTTAATTAATTACATTTTCGGTGGATTTAATTAATTGCATTTGACCATAACGGGGTTAAGAGATCAAAATTATAACAAATATTTTATAAAATAAGATGCGTCGAATATCATCAGTCACACCGTATAAAAGCTCGAATCAACAAGCATGAAAAATAAATACTACGATCAAAATTAAATGAAGAAAATTGAATAATCTAAACACCGATCAACCAAAAAGTGGTGAGTAACCTCTCGAAGCTACACAATGCGGCGCTTTACATGACCAAAGCGACGGCGGCAATGCCAAAGGCAACAGATCCTGCAATGGCAAAGCGATTCGTAGCAGCGTCGTTCTCAATAGGCGCTGAAGCCTCAGAAGGAGGCATGGAGATCGAAGTAGGAGTATTGGCGGTGGGAGATGGAGCTAGAGAAGGAGAAGGGGATGATGCAGTAGGCGATGGAAGGGAGCTCCTACTTGCCAGAGATGGAGAAGAAGCCAATGGAGCCGTGGTTGAAGATGATGACCTCACGGCGGAGATGTGATGGAGCTCACAGCGACCACCGACGGAGCTTTTGGCGAGGAGGCGACGGACCTCGTTGGGTGACGAAAAAAGGAATATGAGGGAATAATATGGCAGAAGTGAGAGAAAAATAATAGGGGGAATAAGCTCTGACATATCACAACGGTCCTTGCTGGTAAGTTCTTAAAAAATAAGCTCCTTCTTCCAGCTTCAAAGAAACGCACATATATTAAGATCATGAAAGATAAGCTCAATTGGACTTAAATTCTCTCAAACTGCACTCCATTTCTCAATCAGTTTTCTACCAAAAATAAGTAACTTTTGGTCCAAATTAAGCCTCCCAAATAGGCACACGCTCTCATAATTCCCATCCAACTAGGCATCTCTTTTTTTTTTTTTTTTTGATGAGTTAGGCATCTCTATACGTAACTCCGCCTATATTGTATAGTCAGTCCCAAGCCCGAATAAAGAAGGAGGGTTGTGTTAAACCCTCGACAGCTAATGTAAAAACCCTTCGAATCTCATGAACATGGATCAACGAAGTAATTATGCTAATGCTAGGTCGTTGCCCAGAAATGACACGCTGTATGGCTCGAGTACAGTGAGAAATGAGCTAGAGCCGCTACATCGTTGCCCGAATGTAGTGTTAAACGAGCGAGGGCTACCGCACTCTCTTGGACGGAGGCAGTTAAAGAAGTTAGTTCATGAGAATGAGATTAGATTTGGCACTTGGAATATTGGGACGCTAAATGAGAAATCTATGGAAGTAGCAGGAGTTATGAGAGACAAAAAGATTAATATCTTGTGCCTCCAAGAAACCAAATGGACTAGAGAAGCTGCCAAGGAACTTGGAGAATATAAACTTTGATACACAGGAAAGGTGAATCAAGGAATGGGGTTGGTATCATTGTTGTTGATGGAACACGGAAAAAAAACATGGTAGAGGTTAAAAGGTTTGATGACAGAATAATATTGTTAAGAGTAATTGTTGGAAATGATACTATCAATATCATTAGTGCCTATGCACCTTAGGTTGGGGCAGAGGCACACCTTAAAGATATGTTCTGGGAAGATATGGAGGGGTTGGTTCAAAGCATACCACTCGAAGAAAAATTTTTTATCAGTAGGGACCTTAATGGACATGTTAGTAAGGAAGCAGGACAATTCAGCAGGGCTCATGGTGGTTTTGGTTTTGGGGAGCTTAGGACAATCTATTCTCGACTTTTCTCTTGCATACAATCTTAAGTTTGTCAACACTTGTTTTAAGAAGCAAGATGAGCATTTAATTACATACAAAAGTGGTGTATCAAAATCACAGATTGATTTCTTTTTGGTTAAGAATCCGAATAGAAGATTTCGTACTAATTGCAAAGTGATTCCAGGAGATGGGATGACTACCCAACATAGAGTACTTATCTTTGATGTACGTTTTAAGAGTACCAGGCAAAAGTACCATCAAGTGGTAAAACCCAGGGTTAAGTAGTGGCAGTTAAAGGGTGAGATACGGGAGTTATTCAAGAGGACCCTTTTAGAGGAAGGGATTTGGGAGTCGCAGGGAAATGCAAACATGATGTGCGAAGAGATAGCTACAAGGATTCATTTGGTAGCTAAAGCAATTTTGGGAGAATCCAAAGGTTTTGGTCAGAGAGATAAGGAGACTTGGTGGTGGGATAAGAGTGTGCAAAAGAAAGTCAAACAGAAAAGAGATTGTTTTAAGGCCATACACTTTTATAATAGTGTAGAAAACCAGGAAAAGTATCAGTTGGCTAAAAAAGAGACGAAGAGAGCAATGAGCGAAGTACATACTAAAGCTTATGAGGGGTTTTATCAGGAGTTAGGAACAAAGACGGGAGAAAGAAGTATTTACAAGATTGCGAAACAAAGGAAGAGGAAAAAGAGAGATCTGGACCAAGTAAAGTGTATAAAGGATGAAGATGGTAAAGTTTTAGTTACTGATGGTGATATTAAAGACAGATGGGAGGCTTACTTTTACAAGTTGTTTAATGAGGGAAGCAATTATGCGACTCAGGATTTACAGGACTTGCTAATTAATGAAGATGATCGAAATTTGGCTTTCTACCACAGGATCTGTATCGGAGAGGTTAAGGTAGCTCTAAAGAAAATGGACAATGGTAAAGCCGTTAGGCATGATGGTATTCCTATTGAAGTTTGGAAATGTTTGGGCGATGAGGGTGAGGTGTGGCTAACCAAGCTTTTTAATGAAATTTTACGCTCTAAGAATATGCCGGATGATTGGAGGAGAAGCATTTTAGTTCCTATTTACAAGAATAAAGGAGACATTCAAAACTGTGTAAGCTACAGAAGGATAAAACTTATAAGTCATACAATGAAGTTGTGGGGAAAAGTGATGGAATATGGGTTGAGGCTGGAGACTTCTATTTCGGAAAACCAATTTGGATTTATGCCAGGGAGATCCACATCAGAAGCAATCTATTTACTGAGGGGGTTAATAGAAAGATATAGAAGTAAAAGAAGGGATTTACATATGGTTTTTATTGACCTGGAAAAGGCTTATGATCGTGTGCCAAGAGAAGTAATGTGGAAGGCTTTGGAAAAGAAAGGTGTACGGGTTGCTTATATCAAAGCCATACAAGATATGTATGAGGGGGTAACTACCAGTGTAAGGACGCCTGGAGGTGAGACAAAGGACTTCCCTATTAAGATTGGCCTATATCAGGGATCCTCTTTGAGTCCGTACTTGTTCAACATTGTTTTGGATGTTCTAACTGAACCTATTCAAGAAAGAATCTCTAAGTCCCTACTTTTCGCGGATGATATAGTTCTCATGGCGGAATCAAAAGAAGAGATTAACATTGAATTGGAGTTATGGAGAAGGACTTTGGAGTCGAAAGGTTTCTACTTGAGCAAGAACAAAACAAAATATATGCATTGTGATTTTAGAGGGAGGCAAGGCAATGGGGATTTGGAGGTGAACATGGGGGAGCAAATCATTCCTCAAGTATCAAAGTTTAAATACCTAGGATCCATTATACAGGAGGATGGAGAAATTAATGAAGACGTTTCTTATAGAATACAAGCTGGCTGGTTGAAGTGGAGGAAAGCTACCGGAGTTATTTGCTATAAGAAAGTACCTAAGAAACTTAAAGGAAAATTTTACTGGACTGCTATAAGACCAATTATGTTGTATAGTAGTGAATGTTGGCCAATAAAGGGAAAACAAAAGCACAAAGTCAGGGTAGTAGAAATGATGATGTTGAGATAGATATGTGGTCATACAAGAAAAGATAGGATTTGAAATGAAAATATCAGGATAAGAGTTGGTGTGGCACCTATCCAAGAGAAAATGATTGAAAATCATTTAAGATAACTTGGACATGTGCAGAGAAGGCCATTGGAGGCCCCGGTGAGAGGGTGAATCAGACAAGATGAATCCCATAAAAAGGGACAGAGGAAGACCGAAAAGAACACTTAATGAGGTCGTTGAACGAGACCTCCTAGTCAACAACATATCTAAGGACTGGGTTATTGACAGAGCACGATAGCATTGTGTGATTCACGTAATCAACCCCACCTAGTGGAATAAGGCTTGTTGTTGTTGTTAGGCATCTCTATGTGTGGTGTCGTCCGACGGCACCGTTTTGGGTGTAAAATGAGGGGATTTTTTGGGTATTTTTGGAGTATTTTTTCAATACAACAAGTATCTTAAAATAATTTTTGGTACACTCAACATATTAAAATATGTTTTTCATGAGTGCTTTTATGGTAAAAAGTTTTTTGTACATTCAAAACTCTAAAATATTTTTTAATAATACCTAGTATCTTGTAATACTTTTTTGTATACTCAATAGTCTAAAATATTTTTTTCAATAGCACCTAGTATCCTAAAATAATTTTTAGTACATTTAGTATTACCTGGCATATTAGAAATTTTTTTAATAAACGCCTAATATTCAAAAATAATTTTTTATACACTTATCATCATATAGTATTTTTCAATAGAATCCAATATCTTAAAATAATTTTTACTTTAAAAATATTTTTAGGGTTGCACTTAGTATTCTAAATTTATAATGCTTGTTGCTACTAATAAAAATATTTTAAGATATTGAGTGTTATGGGTATTTATGAGAAGGGATAGGATTTTTGTCCTGTCTTTCGTTCTAGTCATGTTGTTCCACCCCACTGGGATTGGGATGGAATGTTATGTTTCAAATTTTTTCAATAATCCCTTACAATTCTGGGTCTTGATTTTTTTTATGTTGTAATATTTGTTTTCTATTGGCTTTTAAAGAAAAAAATGCTAAAAAGTTTTTTTTAAAAGCCTAATTATATAATGAAAAAATAGTGTAAAAGTAATGTGGTAAAAAAAATAAAAATTATTATATAATGGTTTCATGAATTATTTTATTGAAAAAAAGATTTTGTTAAAATGACATTGCAACTAAAGATATAAAAATTACTATAAAAACAATTATTAATAAATTAATTGAATAACTTAATAGTAATTATTAATAGGTAATTTTTTTAAAAAAAACTAAAATACCATAGAACAAAATAGAATAGTCCAGTAACTATGTTTTGTCCCATTTTGAATCGACCGAGATTGAGACAGGACAAGTGGGACATCCCAACCGGGTGTTATCAGAAAATTATTTAAGGGTGCTGAGTATATTGGATATTGAGTGTTATTAGAAAAATATTTTAGAAATAAAATGATAAAATAAAATTTATTTATTATCAATATAAAAATAAAAAATATTATACTTACAACGGTCTCTCCTAATCTAGCTATTTTAGTTTTATTTAGATTATGTGATAAAATTGATCTAAATGAAAATCGTGTCATTAGCTATTAACGCTTCTCTTCTTACAAATTATGAAATTATGAATATAGCATAGGAATCAACATCTATAATTAAAAAAACCATTATAATTACTCAACAGAAATTAAAAAATAGAAAGTACAAAGAATTGATTAGCTACTTTTCACCAATGAAACTACGGGAGTTTTATATTCGTTTTCCTTTTCTTAAGAAGAGACAAAAGATTGCTTGTATCAAATTAGATTAGATGTGCCTGTTGAGATTTTTAAGAATATCACCTAAGAAATATACTACTTATGGTCTTAATTATAAGAGCTAGTTAACTAATTTAAGAAGATTAAAAAAATAAGTTAAATTGGTTATGTGTAATAAATAGGTACTGTCTTTTCTAAAATATCCGTGCTAATCAAGTGTATTGGTTATAATTATTATTATTATTAAAAAGACTACTTTAAGAAAAAATGTATAAATATAAGAAACAAAATGAATTGGGGTTTTATAATTAGGATCAAAATAAAAATCAAATAAGGTCTTATATTAAAGACCGGAGGTAGTATATATATATTTTGCATTGACTATAAATCTAGGTTTTAGCATGAGCCATAACCAGGTTTAAACATTTTCCTTCCACTTTGCTATCGTATTATCACTGATTCACTCTTTGTCTCTCATCAACCAAAACATCTCATTGGATTGAATCTAGAGTCAGGAATATGGGTTGTGACTCACGGGCTAACCTGCCAACCTGCCATAAAAGAGCGGGTTAGAGTTGGCATTTTGTCAGCCCGCAAGGTGTGGGCTGCTCTAGCCCGCACCGTATAACTCGCGGGCTATGGCGAGCTAGCCTGCGGGTTGGCGGGTTGGCCCGCCTAACCTACCACTTTTTTTTTTCAATATAAATAATATGTTACTCCCTCCGTTCCTTATTATAAGAGACAAATAACCAAATTGTGTTGATAAAAAAAATAGTTAAAATTAGTTAAAGACAATTAATGTGTAAAAAGTATAATGTTTTTTCCAACAATGCCCCCATTAATAAGGAGAGAAAGTATGAGAGAGAACAATTAAATTATTAAAAGAAAGAGAAGTGGGAGGGAGAAAGAGTACGAGTTGGTGACAAAATAAATAGGGGTAAAATAAGAAATCAATACAAAAAAATAGAGACAACTTTTAAGTGTCTCTTATATATGGGAACATGCTATAAGCATTAAATGTCTCTTATAATAAGGAACGAAGGGAGTATTATATTTGAAAATTTTCTTCTCTTTTTTACATTTCAATTTTCATGTTTTATAATATTATAAGCAAAAAATATTTTTAAAAATAAGCATACTGTATTTATAGCAAAACTTTAATAACCTCAAATATAAGACAATATTTATTACAGAAAAAAAATGTTTTGGAAAAACATCGTAAATGAACTTAAAAAAAATTAGAAAAATGCAATTCTAATTTATTAAGAGATAGTGTTTTGTATCAAACATGGCATTTGTGTAAAAAAAATTATAAAATTTATCACTTGATGAGTTGATGTTAAATATTAATCATGTAAAATATTTATAATGTATTATTTTATATTTGTATTGACTATTTTAAACGTGGTCAAACATCATTTATACTTGTGATTGCTTTTAAACTTTTAGACCACCATTTATTATTTTAAAAAATTAAATAAAAATAAGATTTGAAAATTGAGAATAAAAAAAAAAATGGTGGGCTGACGAGCTGGCCCGCCATCTCACTGTGACAAGTTAGGGTTGAGATTTTTCCAGCCTGCTAAAATGTGGGCTGCTCCAACCCGCACCGCAAAACCCGTGGGTTGTGACAGACTGGCCCGTATTCCCAACTATAATTGAATCCGCGAAGCACACTACAATAAAAATAACTTCAAATCCAACAATCTTAATTAATGATACTGATTTTACTCCAATTCCATCTTCAAAATAATCTTATCATAGCTGACAAACATTTTTAAAACATGATTAAATTGAAATATGCTAAGTATTAAATTTCTGATGGAACAAATATATTAATTTTTATGCTTAATTTTCTTCAAAAATTACGCTATTTCATTTTAAAAATTTTTTAATAAACAAGACATAAATATCTAGATAAAGATAAAACTATAAAAATGTGGTATCCGTTAAAATCTAAGATAAGCGGCAAAATTTAGAAACATCTCAAAATAGAGGGGCTGAGTGCAATTAATTTAAATAATTAAATTACTTTCTTGGGCCAAAAAAATAATTAAATTACTTTTGGAGACTCCCAAAAAACAAAAAAAACTTTTGCAGAGGTCAGCACGTGAAATCTCGCCTACATTTGGAGTTTATTACGCTTCGTTGTTCGGAAATCGAAACACAAACCCTCTCTCTCTCTTCCCCTCTCCCTGCTCAAACCTCACACTTCTTGCAACTTCATGAAAAGAGCTTCGAAGACTTTGAAAACTGCATCTTACTCTGTTACGACATGGCTCTGAAGCCGCAGCAGCAGCTCAAGGAGTTGGGATCCAAGCTGGACACCCTTCCCGCTACCAAGGATGTTCTCATCAAGCTCTTAAAGGTGTGCATTATTTTTAAAATTTTTTTGGCGGCATCGCCTCTCAGTTTCTTCGTTCACTGGTCTCAAAATATTGGGGTTCCCAGTGCCAAATTTAAGCTTCTTCTGGGTTAGTTGTATTGCTTGTTTTCTGTTTCCCTGCTGGAAAGCCAGAAAGAATAAAGAGGAAAAAGCAATGGCAATTTTTTTCTTTTAAGCTAATTTGCCTTCTTGAAATTTGAATTTAGCTGAAATTCGTCAAATTGTTCTTCTAAACGGGTTAATGGGGCGAAATCTATTGCGGTTTGACGTAAAAGTATGAACTCGGGGGTGTATTTTACTGCCAAGTTTTCTGCCATTAAGGCAATGCCAATAGAACAATCGGATGTATATGTTACAGCTATGCCTTCCATAATTAAAAAGAAAAACCGGCTGCTTTAAGACACATATTATTTGGATGAAATAATTTAATTAATACCTGCACTGCAAGTCTGTCACCTGACGGGATGTGCATGTTGGGTCAATCTCAAAGACCCTGGTCCCAGTTGATTAAGAAGTCAGCAGTCTTTAGTCTGAAGAGAGAATTGAATTATAAGATTGTTAATGAAGGCTTGATTAGAAGTTTAGGCAGTGCTGTTTAGGTTCTCATATGGACATTTTCGTCAGACAGTTGTTTCCTGAAAAGCTAATGGATCTTTTAATTGTCACTGAACTTTCTATTGATGACAAATGGTACAGTTTCTGCTGGAATTTACAATTAGTGGTTGAGTATATGAATCCAATATGAGATTATAGCATTTCCATGTATTAGGTTTGCTACTTTTTCATAGCAAATGAATGCACTGTTACAAAGATGGAAAAAAGTTTTTACATTCACGGGCATTTAATGCTTGATGGCCCAATGTGTGCCATGTGTGCCATAATGTTGTTTAACATTAGCAGTTCTATTTTCTTATACCCTGTAGTTTCTAAAGAAAGTTGATTATACTTTATTAATCACTGCCAAGTCGCTTCCTGCCCCCAATAATTTTTTCTCCCATATGCAGCAAGCTGCAGCTTGCCTTGTTGAATTGGATCAATCGCCATCAACTTCAACATTGGAATCACTGAAGCCCTTTCTAAATTCCATCGTTAAGCCAGAGTTGCTGAAGCACCAAGATAGGGACGTCAAACTTCTAGTTGCAACCTGTGTTTGTGAGATAACTCGGATCACTGCACCTGAAGCCCCTTACAGTGATGATGTTCTACAGGTGCGTTTAAATCACTAAGGTCATCTGATTATATAAATTGTGTCTTCTTACTTAAAAACTGTCGTTATCCATTTATTTTCAGTCAAGAGAAAGAAAAAATATGGCTGGCATTATAGTCTACTTCTCCTTCATTGTAATTATTATTTGATCTCTTTGTAGGACATCTTTCAGTTGATTGTGGGCACTTTTAGCGGTCTGAGTGATACCAGTGGTCCATCCTTTGGCAGGAGAGTTGCTATATTGGAGACTGTTGCAAAATATAGATCATGTGTAGTGATGTTGGATCTTGAATGTTATGATCTGGTGAATGAAATGTTCAGTACTTTCTTTGCTGTTGCTAGGTTAGTTCATCATAAAATCTTTTGTTACTCTTGAGATTTTAATGTAAAGAGCGAAAAAGTTGGGTGCTCTTGAAGCTATCTGGTATTCCGAAATTAAAAACTTGATATTTTGTTGGTTTCCATTTTGTTCAGAATCCTGAATTTTCTTGGCTGCCCATGCCATAGTGACAACATGAATTATAGATAATTAGGAAAGATACACATTTTCATGTTTTAGGAATGAGATGTTTTGTTAGATAAATCATGTAATACTATACAAACTGTGAACTTATTGTTTTTTTTCTTCTCTTCCTCCCCATCATTGTTTTGCTCCCTGTATTGTTTAGTCCTAGTTTATTAATTTATAATGTTAAGTATGAAGTATATGAGATGTTTAGCAAGTTGTACGTGCCACTATTATAGCTATTAACCAAACTTTATCATACTAGGTTCATTGCTCGTTTGTTTTTAACCATTCAGGTTCATTACTTTTTGATTGGGTGATAAGTAGGAAGATATGTTGTAGCCATTAGCTTATATGTAAAATTTTTCTGTTATCCTTTGTTGATCAAAGATTCTCTTTGGATTAATGGGTGGTAATTGTACTTCCCCCCTTTTCTCAGAGAGGATCATCCAGAAAGTGTCCTATCATCAATGCAATCTATAATGGTTGTTCTTTTAGAAGAAAGTGAGGATGTCCAAGAAGATCTTTTATGTACTATACTGTCTGCCTTAGGTCAAGGAAAAAATGTAAGTACTGCTTCATTTACTATTACAAGCAGATAGTTGATGCTCTTGCCAAACGAGTTTCTTGCTTCTGCTGCTCTAATTTTTCATATGGACGTGATTGTGTGGAACTTTAATTCTAGGGTGTTACTACGGCTGCAAGGAGGCTTGCTACGAATGTTATACAGCAATGTGCAGAAAAGCTCGAACCTGGCATCAAACAGTACTTGCTATCATTGATGTCAGGAGATACCAAGCCAGTGAATGGTCAAGTTCAATACCATGAACTAATTTATGATCTGTATTGCTGTGCTCCCCAGGTGCTATCAGGAGTTATCCCTTATGTGACAGGAGAGCTACTGGTAATTAGTGATTTATTGGCTTTCCTAATGCATTCTTTTATGGTTTCTGTTAGTGGCTCATATTGCCTTAAAAATGAGTAAAGGGCATATTGCCAATTATGATAAAGATGTTTCGTTTTATATTTTATTTCTTAAGTTGTTATGCCTTTTGACATTTAAGGTATTGGAATTCATAAATCTCTAATATCACATTACTATGAGTAACTTTTTTTGTTTATAAATTCCTTGTTGATATCATTTATGTGTGGCAAAACCATGCGTTTTAGATTGTCACTCACATTCTGTGAATAGATTTTCACTTGTAATTTGGTATCTGCAGACAGACCATCTGGAAACCCGTCTGAAAGCGGTGAGTTTGGTTGGGGATATAATCTCTCGTCCTGCGTCTTCCATCCCTGAAGTGTTTCAGCCAATATTTTCAGCATTTTTGAAAAGGTTAACGGACAGAGTTGTTGAGGTTCGCATGTCTGTCCTTGAACACGTAAAAAGCTCTCTGCTGTCAGATCCTTTTAGAGCCGAAGCCCCTGAAATAATCTGTGAGTGCATATAATGTGTAGATATTCAGTCTGTCAATCAGCCATGTGCGTGGTTCCAATCATAATATATATGTTAATTTTATGCTGGTATAATGTTTTAGCTGCCCTCTGTGATCGGCTGTTGGATTTTGATGGTACTGTTCGGAAACAAGTTGTGGCTGTCATCTGTGATGTTGCATGTCATACTTTAAACGCAATTCCTGTTGAAACTGTAAAACTTGTTGCAGAGCGCCTTCGTGACAAATCTGTATGTAGACTTCCCATTATCTTTTTTCTTTTTTGGCATTTCATAATTGTGTTGATTGAAATTGACATATTTCCCCTTCCCTCTTCTGCTTTGAATTTCCAGCTACTCGTTAAAAAGTATACCATGGATAGATTGGCCGAGATATACAGAGTTTTTTGTGAGAAGAGCTCTAACAGCTCAATAAATCCCCGTGAGTTTGATTGGATTCCAGGGAAGATTCTCAGATGTTTCTATGACAGAGATTTTAGGTGAAGTACCTAATTCTTATACCACACGAGAATATAGTTTTTTTTTATCACCTATTTGCGTCATTATTATTAATTTTTCCTATTATTTTTTCAATAACATGCAAACCAATATTGTTTTGTTATCCATATGGTGAGTCCTGACCTTACCTAGATTCTAACAGTTAAAGTGAGTGGCGAATTGCTTTAAAAGGATAACTGGCTGTTTAGAGATTTTCTGATCAATCCAAAGCTTCATGTAGTGCAGTTTTATTTCCCAGATTTTGGATGATTCAGAAGTCTAGAAGATCTTGAAAGTTTCTGGTCTTTGTGGTTTTATTCAATTGAGAACTGCTGCCTCTAGTCCCTAACATAAGAGCTTGTTTGGGGGGGGGGGTTGAGTTTGGGCCACATATAACCATTTTGTCGTCCATGCTCATCATTTTTTCTCCAAACTATCCTCATTGATTGCACATGCTGAGAGTGCTTGCATTAAGGGGTGGTTTCAATGCAAATAGTTTAAGAGGGTATTTTAGGAAAACTAACTCATATTTTTGACAAATAACTAATTTAATAGTTTCCTTAATTTACTAAAATTAGTTAAGTAGATCTTATATTAAAGACCAAAGGTAGCATAATATATCATTTTGGTGCTATTCTATTGCTCCTGGTAAATAGTTCATGTGAAGTTTGTATTTGACATTGGCTTTGGAAGGGTACTTATGTTCTAAGTCCATATGTATCACAAGGAGGGCAGGGATAAATGAGCCAAAAAAAAAGAAAAAGAAATTAATAACACTAATGTTGATTGTACCTCAATTCTTGTAATTTAATTTAATTTTTATAAATTTGTATGAATATAGAACCATATCTACTATTAAGAGAAACAAGATAATATTTTGTTGCATCTTTGCTCCTAACCTACTTTTGTAACTTCTTGTATCATTTGTAATCTGATTATGGTGATGCCATCCATTGGATTGGTTTTAAGTGAAGAAATCTGTCATTCTTAAAATTGCTTGATATCCTGGCATACATGAGAGCTCATGGCTGATCAGTCAATTCAACAAAAGGCCATTGATTCCCATGTTATGCCAGAATCTATCTTTCGGCAAAGTTCTTGCTCCCCCTTGTGTTTTTCTGCACTCCTGTAACTCAAGTTTCTAATGACGTTTTGTGTTTGTGTGTGTGTCTGTGTGTGTTTTGAAGTATACATTGAATAGAGTTGGACGCTTTGGTGGTGTGCGTTATATTAGCATCCAGGTTAACAATCCTCCTAATCACTTTGTGCTGCAGATCAGATATAATTGAATTTATTCTTTGTGAGTCCCTATTTCCAGCACATTATTCCATTAATGATATAGTTAAACGCTGGGTTGGGATATTCTCTGGATTTGATAAAGTGGAGGTCAAAGCTCTTGAGAAGGTACTGGAGCAGAAACAAAGGTATGCTTGTGCTTGGTCTTTCATGGCTTATCAATATTGATTGGCAATGAAGTTTTAGTTTTTACTGTATCTCTTTGCCTGCAGGTTACAGCAAGAGATGCAGAAGTATCTTTCTTTTAGGCAGATGGGTCAGGTAGTGATTTCACGAGTTATAAAGATGATCTATTTGAAGGAAATTTGATGAGCTAAGACATTGATTGTGTTTATATGTAGGATAAAGATGTTCCTGAGGTTCAAAAAAAAATTCTGTTCAGTTTCCGTGTAATGTCTCGTTCATTTGCAGACGCTGCAAAGGCCGAAGAGAGTTTTCAAATTCTTGATCAATTAAAAGATGCTAATATTTGGAAGATTTTGACAAATCTTGTTGATCCAAATACCAGCTTGCATCAAGCTCACTCTTATCGGGTATGATAATTGGAGGCTGAGACACAGTTTTGTGATTGTTTGATATTTTGATATTCCTTTCTGGAAATCACGAGTCAAACTAATTCTCATAATTCTTTTGTGAGAAACATGTAATTTCCATTTCTCTATGGACTGATTTTGGTTATATATATGTGTGTGTTTTTGCAGGATGATTTGCTTAAAATACTTGGTGAGAAACATGGGCTCTATGACTTCCTGAAGAACTTCTCTGTGAAATGTTCTTACTTACTTTTCAACAAGGAGCATGTAAAAACGATTCTCTCAGAAGTTGTTGCAAACAAATCTGCAGAGAATGCAGAATATATACAATCTTGCATGAATATATTGGGGGTAGGACATGTCATTCCAATGTTCTTAGATTTTTGCACATGATTCTCAAATATAGATAGATTTATACTATTTTTCTTCATCACAAATTGTACCGCTTGGCTTCTGTGCAGATTTATATTTTTTCCTCTTAGCTTTTATTACCACAGTAGGTGGAAAGGAGAAAAAGTACCCACCCTCTTTATTGTTGCTTGAAATAGTAACCATGGCAGGCTGTATGATTATGGCCATGGAAATTATAAATACCGGATTTTACCTTCTAACTTCCATGGTTGACTTCCTTTGGATAAACTGCAGATAATTGCTCGTTTTTGTCCATTTCTTCTTCGTGGCAGTGAGGAGGAACTTGTCTGTTTACTTAAGGATAACGATGACATGATTAAAGAAGGTGTTTTGCATATTTTAGCAAAGGCTGGTGGTACGATACGTGAACAACTTGCAGTTACATCAAGGTGCTAATGTTAAAACTGTTATATTTGTTTATCCATAATTCATTTTAGATTTCGATATAATCTTCTTGTCTCATGCAGTTCTGTAGACCTTATATTGGAGAGACTATGTTTAGAAGGTAGTCGGAGACAGGCCAAGTATGCTGTGCATGCACTTGCTGCAATAACAAAGGATGATGGGCTCAAGTCTCTATCTGTTCTATACAAGGTTCCATATAATTAATTGGCGGGTGTGACAGACAATTTTGCTCTGTTGCTATTGTTTTGATTATTCTCTCCCTTCATGCAGAGGCTTGTGGATATGCTGGAGAAGAAAACACACCTTCCCGCTGTACTACAGTCTCTAGGATGTATAGCACAAACTGCCATGCCTGTTTTTGAAACTAGAGAGAGCGAAGTAGAAGAATATGTGATAAACAATATTTTGAAAAGTGATAGTGTAAGCCTTTCAAAATCCCCCGTAGAGCGTTCTTATTTATGAGGTGAGCTTTGGACGGAACTGAATTTTGTCTACACATTCGCTTCACTGTTTCAGAAAGATGATGCTGGAGCATCTTGGGATGATCAAAGTGATATTTGCATGTTGAAGGTAGGTGGGAATGGTAGTCCTCTCTGTATTTTAATTCAGCATAATGTTAGCATCAATATGTGGTAAATTGAAAAATACTTATAAATTCGCTGCTACATGGACTGCTTATTCTACTATTTTCCTTCTCCATTTCTCTTTCTTGGCTGCAGATATATGGCATTAAAACCTTGGTAAAGAGCTACTTGCCAGTTAAAGATGCTCATGTTCGTTCTGGTATAGATGGTCTTCTGGATATCCTTAAGAACATGTTAACTTATGGTGAAATATCTAGTGACATACGTTCAAGGTATATCTACTACATAGTAGTTTTTTTTTTTGGTCAATATATTTGACAATGACCATGTTCTTTTTTTCCACTCAGTATTAGATGATAAATTTATGCACTCATTTATGCCTTCTTACAGTTCAGTTGATAAGGCTCATTTGAGACTTGCATCTGCCAAGGCAGTTCTTCGTTTGTCAAGGCAGTGGGATCACAAGATACCTATTGGTCTTTTTTACTTAACTTTGGGGACATCTAAGGTCTGTTCCTTGGGTGCTATTAATTTCTCCTTGAGCAATTATAGTTTTTTACCACTATATCATCTGAGATGAATTACTTCTATTCAGTTGTTTAGGCTAAAACTAATTTGTTGGTTTTGATTTAAATGTGGAAATAAGTTCTTCCTTTTGATTTCATCTGGTCCTTCAGATTAACTTTCCTCAAGCTACTACGATCTTCCTGAGCAAAGTACATCAATATATAAAAGATAGGCTTTTGGATGCCAAATATTCTTGTGCCTTCATACTCAGCATTTTTGAATCCCAAGCAGATGAGTTTGCAGAGGTAATTTTGTTTTGAAAGATTAACTGCATCATTTTTGTATTTCTAAACTTCTTTCTTGGTCTATCTAAAAATTTGATGTTAAGTATGGGCTTTTCATGATGGCTCTTGTTTCTTCACGCAGGGTAAACAGTACTTAGCTGACATTATTCAAGTGCTTCAGCAAACAAAGGCCAGGGAACAATCTGTGCAATCTGATGTGAACACCACTGTCACTTACCCTGAATGCATCCTTCCATACCTTGTCCATGCGCTTGCACACAATTCATGTCCCATGGTTGATGAGTGCAAGGAAGTCGAAACATATGATAATATATACAGGTACTATGTTGCTCATATAACAAGCCTGTTGTCTTCCTGCCATAACCAATATGTGTGTGTGTGTGTGTGTTTTTTTTTTTTTTTTTTTAATATATAGACGCATATAACAGAAACCATATAGAAAAAGAAAAATTTGGAAGAGGAGAGCAAATGAGAAATTTAGTTTTTTTCCCCCTCTTTGTTTTTGAGTAAAACGAACACTTTTGATGCAGGTATCTATGCATGTTTATCAAGGTTGGTGTTTTATTGATCATCGTGTACTATGTACTGCTTCTGAGTTATGACTCGTATTCACAAGATATTAAACATTACATCATGTTAATATTGAAGACATTTTTGCACACTTGGTCTGCATAATATTATTTGACATCCTTTGGGAAGCTCATGCAGAATGGATATTCTGCACATTCATTTACGTGGTGTTAACATGTTTCCTTAGGGGTCTGATGTTCATGCGAATGCCTAGTTTATCCTCTCCTGGCACACTCAAGTATCTTTTCTTTGCTGGCCGTGACGTTAATATTTGTTGGTTGTACTTTTGAATATTTTAGTGTCAGTATGGTATATGTTACGTATATATGTGTTAATAAACTTTGATACGTAGCAACTGTTGAGAACGCCTATTCCCTATGTATTTATAATGTTCTGAACTTCCAGGCAGTTGCACTTGATTCTGTCTATTCTACTACATAGAGATGAAGATGCCAAGTCAGAAGCAACTAATAACAAAGATAAGGAGGTTATATCTACTATTACTTCCATCTTTCGAAGCATCAAGCACTCTGAAGATATAGTTGACACATCGAAGTCAAAGGTTGAGGATTGATATTGTTACGGTATTTGACATAGTTGTGACTGATATGAAATTTGAACCTTACTATTGTGATCAATGAATTTCCAGAATTCTCATGCTATTTGTGACCTTGGATTGGCAATCACCAAACGACTAGTTCAGAAGGATGGTGATTTGGAAGGATTGTCAACATCAGTCACTCTGCCCTCAATGCTATACAAGGCGTGTGAGAAGAAGGAAGGAGATGACTCTTCGGTATGGTATTTCTCTTGTGCAATTATATAGTTTTCATTTTGATTGCGAGGAATTTTGTGCCAGACAATCCTTCCTATGACTTGTAATTTTATGAGACTAGTCTTTTGATTACCCCAGTAGCTGATTCAGTTGGAATTAGCCAATGCCCTGTAATTTAACAGTTACAAGATCATTAGAGCTGTGCTCAATAATGCCTCTGAATCTTTGAAACAGGTTAGTGAAATGAAAACCTGGTTGGTGGATGAAAGTTCGTTGGCTCACTTTGAATCACTTGAGCTAGAAATGGTATGTTTGATGCAAAGGATAAAGCTGCATGACAATTTTATATGCATGTTGTTTCTTGATCTAAGTGGATTCTTTGGTATGTCAGGTTCCATCTGAATTAGCTAATGATGATGTTCTAAAGGACAGTGAAAAGGATGGAAGCGAAGTGCCTCTTGGAAAAATGATAAAGCACATAAAATCTCAGGGAACCAAGAGAAAGAAGGTGAAAAAGAACAAGTCTATGCCAGATGATATGAAAAAGGCTGAAAATGATATTGATATCTTAAAAATGGTCAGACAAATCAACATAGATAACTTAGGAATGACTACTAAGTTTGAATCGAGTAATGGTCACGAAGATCCTTTGAGCAAGAAAATGCAGAAGGAATCAGCTCATGCAGTGAGTGGAAAACGAAAATCTGGTGAAGAAACACCTATCCAAGTGCCTAAGCGTAGGCGGTCGTCCTCAACTCCAGGAAGTTTCAGATCGTCCAGTGGCAATTCAAAGGCTTCTCTGACAGTTTCAGGAGACTCCCCTGAAGCCAAATTACCCTCTGATGCAAAACTTATCCCTGATACAGATACCAAAACTAAGCAGAGAAGGAAGGTCAAAGGCAGTAAGCCAGGTTTATCTGTGTCATCCTCAAAACAGAAAGCTGAGGCCTCTGAAAGCTATCATGATGATGAGGCCTACAAATCTGATGAGCGTGACTTTAAGGTCAAATCTTACTGTCTAGGAGCTTTTCTGCTTATATAGAATCTTGGGCTGTAAGTTTTCAATATTGTATACTTCTACTTATTGTCTGCCGCTGTTGCAGAGCACTGATAAGCTAAAGAAAACTGACAAGGTTTCAAGTAGCAATGCCAAGTCTTCCACAGGATCTTCTAAAAAGCAGAAAAGAAAAAGTATTGCAGGACTGTCAAAGGTAAAATTCATTGACAGCTTTCTTAATCAATGTTCCAGAGGCATCTCTGCCATGGGCGGATTTTTTTATATAAATCTTTGATTAGTTGAACCTATAATTACTTATCTTTCTGCCTTTGTACAGTGTACAACAAAGGAAGGTGGAATTGATGCTGAAGACCTGATTGGTTGCCGAATCAAAGTTTGGTGGCCTATGGATAAGCAGTAAGTGCCAATAATGAATTCAATAGACCAGTTGCAGAAGTTAAAAGAAAAAAGAGATGGCTTTGATGCCACTTTATTCTGTATAAAGGAAGAAAGAGAAAAACATGGTTTTCTGGTTCTGAACATTATGAACGTATTCTCTGTATAATGCTGCCTGTTGACCCCTGTGAATTTTTTTGCTAAATCTCTTGAATTTCTCCTTGTATGTTTATTCCTTTTCCCAGCTTCATCTTCTCTTCATTAACTGGTGTTATCTTTTTCTGGATTCAGTAGCAGCATCGCTTCATTATCTAATGTGCTCTTTGCATGGGACACGATCCTAAAGTCTCTTGCATTTTCTCATTTCAATATATAACTTGAATTTAATTTAGTAAAGTTGAAGTGCTTATGGTTGCCTCTATGTATTTTAGATTCTATGAAGGCACTGTAAAGTCATATGACTTACAAAAAAGGAAGCATGTGGTAAGCTGGATGATACTGAACTCATGATTTGGTGTGTTTATTGTGGGCCTCTTACCATTTGCAATCCTGATGCAATTTTCTTTTATGTCATGTCAAAGATATTATATAATGATGGAGATGTAGAAGTTCTCCGTTTGGAAAAGGAGCGCTGGGAGCTTATTGACAAGGGTCGCAAATCTGCTAAGGTCTCTGATTTTATATCATTATTCTCTTTTTCGCTGGATTATTTGTAGTTTTCTATTTCCAATGAAAGTAATTAGTTATGATTGAAATCTGACGCTTCTTTTATTTCCGTTCCAGAAGCTAAAGTCTTCCAAAAATCTTTCTTCACCTCAAGTGTAAGTATCCCCTCTACAGGATAGTTTCAAATATTAGATGGTGTATCTATTGTAAAATTGAGCATAGTATGAGTATATTAAGCTAACCTTCTTCAAGTTTTGACCAAATAACACTTAATACACCCATTGTTCCAAAAATTCCCTTGTCTCTTGTGATGTTATGATATATATTACAAAAATCTTCCTCATAATTTTTTCAATGATAAATAAGGTAACTTTTTGCACTAAATGGCTCTCTGATTTTATTCCTAATAAGATAGCAAAGGCAGCAAAGTTAGTGTTAGTTCACAATGAGACTCTAATTTATTGATATGACAATAAAGACAGTTAACTTATATTTCTGGAAGAAGTACATACTTTGTAGAAAGTTACCTTCATTGTCAGAATAAATCAGAGGGAAGCGGAGTGTGATTTTTAGAACAAGGGGGGTATTAAGTTTAATTTAACTGGATCTGGGAGTTTAGTACCACCTCTGGTCCTAAATAATAGATCTAGTTTGTAGTGTAATTTATGTTGCCAACAATATTTTATATTTAGGACCGGAGAGTATAATTTACTCTTTTACGCTATGGAAAAAATTTTGAATACGATCTTATCTTCTTGAAATGGATTTTTTTTTTTTTTGGTTGTACTCACCTTCTTTTGGTCCATTGTGAGAATGCTATCTTCCTTTTGATGGCTGAAGTTTTTGTGTATTTTACAGGTCATCTGGTCAGAAACATAAAGCCTCTGGTAGTTTGCAGAACAAAAAATCAAATAAGATGTGAGCGAAAAAGCTGAGACCATTTTTAGAGATTTATGATTTTGTTTTATATCTTAGTCATTTTAGTTTGTATACTTTATGTAGAATTAATGGTGAACAATCTTCAAGAAAGAGTGTAACACTTGGAGAAAAAGGCAAGACGAAAAATAATTTTCACCAAGAGGATATTAAAGAGAGTTCTGAAACGACGATGACATCCAAAGCTGATGAGACGGACTCAGGTATTTTATCCGGAGAACATGCTTTGTGTGTTAACTGCCTTGATTTTCATTTATCTTCAGATCAATTTTATGTGAAGGTGATTGTGTATTAAACAAATTCCTCCTCTGGATTTAATGATTTGTGACCTTTATGAAATTTGTGCAGTCATACTGATCTGTTTTTAATTATGTTCGTTGCTGACAAATCCATCTTCATGCAAAAAATTCTGTTGTTAGCTCTTTCCTTTGTCGGTAATATTAACACCAGAAAAGAGTATATTCCATTCTTAAAAACAATTTTTTATTTGTTTATTTTTAGATGAATAGAACGGGCTGAACCGGATTTTATTACACGTAACTTACTTTGTAAAAATGAGAAGAACTTCTATGATACAAATTACGAAATTGAACTGCTGCTCAGGCTCACTTAAATCGGAGGATCATATCTTCAACCTTGCTTTAGCTATCGCTTAATTGTAATATTTTTCTGTCTAACTGATGCATGTTGTCATTTTGATTAGATTACATGTGGTATTCTGCTCATTCACGTATTTGATCGGTTGACTTGTATGTCTATTGAGGGCATGTTTACAAATTAAACTTAATATACAAGAATGTGGCAGGAATATTAGCGTCTTCTTGTTACTGACAGATTGAATCATTCCAGTCAAACCAAATATGCTGTCTTAACACTGAAATCAAACCCTATCCCAATATGTAACAAAAACTTGTGTTAATTTCTATGCCGACTGATTGATTTTGAAGTTGAAATTTTAATATTAGTGAAATTGGAAGACACCAGATGTAAAATAAATTACAGAAGTAGTCATTTCTGTTTGTTTATATTCTGTGGATGTACATAATTATTTATGTTATTCATGGAAACAAGCTTCAAAACTAGTCATTCCCAATGCTTTTAACCTGCATGTGTCCTGAATTCATGAGTTGACACAAAGTAATGATAAATTGTTAGATTTCCAAGTTTCTTTTTTACTGAATATTGCACTTTGGGTTTCCTCATTGTTGTGGAAGTAGACTTAAGCTACGGCTTCACTCACTCTCTCTCTCACACACACTTTTTATTTTTCCTTTGCAAGGTGACTTTGGAGGGAAGCCGGCTGAAATATCATCAGATGTCGTAAGAAAAGTCAACAAAAGTAAAAAGAAAGTAAAAAATATTTCAAGAGGGAAGAAACTTAAAAAAGAGAAGAGCTTGAGTTATATGGAAGAAGATTCAGATGAAGAGAAGCAGGAATATGACGAAAGGCTTTCTGAGGACCCCCAAGGTGTTCAAAATGTCGAAGAGAGTGGTTCAGAAGAGAGAGAAGCAGATGAATCAAGTGGAGGCATGAGAGAGAAGGCAAATGGAGAAGCGGAGTCTGATTCTGAAGGGAATCAAGGAGACAATTATTTTGAGGAGAGCGGTCCCCAAGAAACGGACCAAGCACATAAAGAGTCATCGAGTCTTGATGGTGTCAGGAATGCTGAGATTTCCGAAGATGAACCTCTTGTAAGGAGCTTGACCTTTTGCACTTTCCCCCTTTTCCACTGAATTAGTATTTTGGTTCTTCAGAGATGCACTTTCTTCAGGCGGCTTTTGAAAATTTAGTCATAGATATACTGTCTTGGTCTTCCAAAGGGTATTTTATCTCCAATATTGTCCATATATTAAACGCCTTAATAGTTCATTATAACACAGAAGTGACATGCCATAACTTTGAACTAATGTTGCCGGGCAATGCCTTGCTGGTACTTAAACATGCGATGGTTTATGCTTGAAGTAGCAGCACCATATTGGCTGGTGCTTTATAATTGCATGTTTTAGTAGCAGATATTTAATAATTAAACCAGTTTTGTGTTAAGTCATGTCTCTGGTTTATGTTACTTGTCGAGGGGTTTAGTATGGTTATTCCATTAAGATGAAACACTCATATTGAACTGAGACGTTCCAGCTTCGATTGATTAAATTGAGGGAAGGTGCATCTTGCGAGGGCCAACCGGTTAATTCCTCAACCTCTATATGATGTTTATCTTTAAAAAATTCTAACATTTATAACTTTCCCTCATGCAGAGCAAATGGAAGCCTCGTACTGGGAAGAAAAGTTCAGGCCAAAAGCGGTGAGCAGTTTAGCTGGCTGCAACATTTTATTCTTTTCAATACGAATTCATATGGGAGCTTGAATGAAGATGACTGCCACATAACTTTAACACACTTGTAGTCACCCTGTAGAGTGTAAAATACCAACCATTCCTACGCCTAGAGAGAAAAACGATAGAGCACTTAGGTTCTAGGTTATGTCCATCTTGTATTAATCTTAGTTATTATTATTAGGTTTAGCTTATGATTCATGAGGGTGTCGTTCGCCCGTCCAATGTAATTTGTTATTTGTATGATAAATGGGGTATTGTGTACAGCTAGCTATAGCTATACGTGGGAATAATTGTACTTAGCATATTCTTACTTTCTTAACATCCATGAGAATGATGATTTAAGTATAAATTTTTAATCTTGTTCGTTGCTGTGTTTGACTTATGAATCGGTGTTTTCTGTTGGGTGGAGATACAGATTCATTGCTTGTTGAAATCAGGGGTTCAATGGGTCTTTCTGGGGTCCATTTGAATCCTCATGTGATTTTTTATTGCATTTTTTCAGTGGTTAGTGTGTATCTAGTAGCTTGAAATATTTTTTCAGGTAGAATTTTGTGATGCATTCAGCATCCTGAAATATTTTTTTTGGATGCGTTCAGTACTGTAAAATATTTTTTATTGCACACAGCACCTGAAAGTATTTTTTTAAGATGTATCCAGCATTTAAAATTATTTTTTTTTATGCATTTAGCACCAAGGCTAAAAAAAATATATTTTAAAGTACTAAACACATTTAAAAATATTTTAGAGCATTAGATACATTACGAAATACTTTAGGATGGTAGATGCATCTAAAAAAATACTTTAAAGTACTGGATATATCTCAATATTTCTTTTGGGGGGTTGCTATGGAAAGGTTTTTAAGAGAAATAGATTTTGTTTGCCCACATGTTTTGATTTTCTTTATTTTCAAATGGAAAAAAGCGTGGTTGCTTTGCCCTGGCTTCACAGACACCGCTTGGCGCAAAAGATAAACTCGATGGGGAAGGGATGAGCTCGACCTGTTGTGAGAGCATGATAGATTTTATTATATATAAATATTTTTCTGAAAGTAATAAGTTAAAATATATTTTCTTCCAACAACTTTTCATGTTTTTAGTCCAACCCGTTAACATAAGTGAATATCCTCTTTTAAAAAACTTCTGTAGAACATTATATGTGTTATATTTATTAATTTCTGTAGGTTAGATTTGCCTGTTGAACTTTTTAAAAATAGTCTGCATGTATTTTTAATAACGACAATTGTATTAAACTAATTTGATTAAATTAATAAAGTTAGGTAAGTTAATTAATCATAAGAAAAGTGACACATTTTTCCTAAAACATTATAATCATCTTTCTTAATAACCCATCTCTTTCTTTTACTTGATTGTGGTTAAGGGAGTATTCATAAGGTAATTTAGAGAAAAATGATAAATATGAGAAATGGGTTTTATATTTAGAACCAAAACTAACTTAAGAATTGGACCCTATATTAAGGACCGGAGAAGTAGATAAAAATAAAATGTTTAGAATACAAATTTAAGAGGAGAGTTTTATGAAGAGAACCCTTGATAACAGGGAAACATCATGGAAAACTATAAAAGAAGCATAGTCAAAACTTCAGATAAGAGCGAATATTCAAAGCAATGCCATTTTGCAATGCACTGGAAAATTTTGTTAGATTGAAAAATTTGGAACCAACACACCAAATTGTCAGAAAAGGATGCAGATGGTGATAAGAAGAAGAATAAAATGACATTCATGAAATCAAGTTTTCATGGATATAAGAATTGTAGATATCTGAAACCTCCAAAGTAAAAGTTTTCATAAGTAGAAGAACTGTGGCTACATTATAATAGAAGTTAGGTCCAGTAAAAATAACTAATTCTTCACAACGTGGTGAGTTTAAGTTCAAAACTCCGCTGAAAGAAGTATTCATATTTAGTGCTCGATAATAATTCGAACATGATTGCTTCCTGATTGTTACTTCTTCAAAGTGATTTCATAAATAATGTAAGTGTCCTCTTGGAAGAGAATTTGATAGAATTTAACTCCCTTTGAACTTTCTAAATCATAGATTTCAATACGAGGCATGTTATTAAGTAGAGTTGAAGACAGACTGGATGCATACAATTAATTTTTTGGGCATTGACTATAAACCTAGATTTTAGCATCAACTATAACACATAAATGTAAATTCCTGACACGTTGTCATCTCATTATTGGCTCACTCTTTATTCTCGTCAAGCAAAATATTTCATTAAATTGAATCTACAAATCACATATTAAAACTTTAAACAAGTTCAAATCCAACAATTTTATGCAATATAAAGAATCTAAATAATTGTAAAAAAAAAATGTAGACAGGACAAAAGTGACTGAAGTTAGTTAGGTTGAGGTGTTGGCTGGGGCCGCGTTGCCGTTGATGGATTTTTTTGTAAAAGCATTTAGTCTTTTAATGTTATAACTATATTTTTTTAAAAAATAAAATTATACACTAATTTCATGTTCATATCAAACATATTTTTAAATCTACATTATTTTTTTTATTTTCATTAAAATATTTTCAGCAAACCAAACAGGGCCTTAAAGATCTAGACAAAAATAAATCTATGAAAATGCATCTGCTAGAACGGAAGATAAACGGCAAACGTTGGAGGGATCTAAAAACAGATGGACAAAACTGCAAAACCATTTAATTTGAATAATTAAATTATTTTCTAGGACTATCCGGGGGAAAAAAAAAAAATTCTGCAGAAGTCAGCACGTGAAATTTGGCTTGCATTTGGAGTTTATTTCGCTTCGTTGTTCGAAAATCGAAACCGCCCCCCGTTCTCCCTCTTCTCGACTCAACACTCCAACCAGATAACGAAAACAAAACCCTCTCTCTCTCTAACACGCGCGCGCGCACAGACGCACACACGCATCTGGGCAAGACTCAGCTTCATGAAAGAGCTTCTAAGACTCTGAAAACGATATCATATTCTGTTAGATATGGCTCTGAAGCCCCAGCAGCAGCTCAAGGAGTTGGGATCCAAGCTGGACACCCTTCCCTCTACCAAAGACGGTCTCATCAAGCTCTTAAAGGTGTGCATTCTTTTTTCGAAATTTTTGGTAGCTTCGCCTCTCAGTTTCTTCGTTCACTGGTCTCAAAATTTTGAGGCTTTCAATGCAAAATTTGGACCACCTTCTGGGTTAGTTGTTTTTGCTCGTTTTCTGTTTTCGCTTCTGAAAAGCTAGCGAGAAGAAGAGGTAAAAAACAATGGCAATTTTTATGTTTTAAGCTAATTTTACTTCTAGAAATTTGAATTCAGCTGAAATTCGTCAAATTGCTCTTTTAAACGGGTTAATGGGGAGAAATCTATTGCGGTTTGGTGTAGAAGTGTGAACTCAGGAGTGTATTTTACTGCTAAGTTTTCTGCAATTAAGGCAAATGCCAATTGTATGTATTAAGCTAAATTGTCTTTAAGAATATCGGATTTGGATTATATGCGTCAAATTTTCTCTTCTAGACGGGGTTGCGGGAGCAAAATTCTGGACTACCTGTGGAGTTGGTTTAGCAGTGAGAATTGAAGATGCATATGTTACTGCTATGCCTTCCGAAATTAAGAACAATCAGAGGTTTTACTGTTTGTGGTTAGACATATGTTATTTTGAACAAGTTTATGAAGAATCTTTGACTTTGCGTTGAGTTTGAAAGTTTCTTCACTTGAGTTAGATGAATCATCAATCGACTTATACAACCCTTGACATTTATCAGTATTACTCCAGAAGTCTTTCATATTGTACCAATCACATTACTGATTGCATAGTCTTAATACAATATGCATAGAATATTAATTACAGTCTCAATAACACAATCAAGAATATGTTTATGAATTGTACGGGTACCTGAAGAAGTCCCTGTAGTTGCTTGCTTGATCTAACGCAATAAGGTGAATAGATTCTTCAGCCTACTTTGCCCCTTAGCTTTTCATGAATAGAGAAGAATAGTGAGGGAGCCGAGAGCTTTCTAGACTACTAGGGTTTTCTGAGTTATTGTATATATAATAATCTTATGCATATTTTATAACAGTTATATAAAAAGCCCTTGTAATATAATAATATTAATATCTTAAAATTCTCTCTCATTATTTTCTATATTATAATCAGATTGTGATAGGGAACCGCATACATTAAAGGGCTGTAGGCTGGAGCCTCTATCCAAATGGGCAATGTATGAAACAACCTATTACATAACACACATAGAAATGGGGCACGATCTATTCTAGGCTTAATTAAAACAATACTAATTGTTTAAAATAATATTAGATGTTCCCATTAATTAATTAATGCTAATCTACACATTTATTAAATTTATAAAATTTAATCCAACAATTAATTTTCTCCTCCTCTAAATGAGTGGTCTACACTGCTTGTTGCCATGCTATTGGTTTTACCCTCTTGGAAAAGCTTCAGTCTCTGTTTAAAGAGATTCTTGAATGAGGTAAGTTAATACATGTACTGTATCTCTTTCAACTGATGGGAAGTGTATGTTGGTTCAGTGTCAAAAACCCTGGTCCCTGTTGATTAAGAAGTCAACAGTCAGTAGTCTGAAGAGAAACTGTATTATAAGATTGTCAATTAAGGCTTAATTAAAAGTTCAGATGGTACTCTTTAGTTGCTCATATGAACATATTCTTCTGACATTTGTTTCCTTATAAGCTGCTGGATCTTTTGATTGTCATTGAACTTTCTATTGATGTCAACCGGTACAGTTTCTGCTCAAATTCACCATAAATAGTTGAGCATATGGATCTCATATGATATTATAACATTTCCATGTATTAGATTTGCTAACTTTTCATAGCAAATGAATGCAATATTACAAAGAGGGAAAATTTTTTCATTTATGAGCATATAATGCTTGATTGCCCAATGTGTGCTGTAATGTCATTTAACATTAGAAGTGATTATGACATTTATGCTGTTATACCCTGGTTTCTGAAGCAAGTTGGTAATACTTGATCAATCACTGCCAAGTCTCTTCCTGCCCTCAATAAGAACTGTTTTTCCATATGCAGCAAGCGGCCTCGTGCCTCGTTGAATTGGATCAATCGCCATCAACTTCAACATTGGAATCACTGAAGCCCTTTCTAAATTCCATCGTTAAGCCAGAGTTGCTGAAGCACCAAGATAGGGACGTCAAACTTCTAGTTGCAACCTGTGTTTGTGAGATAACTCGGATCACTGCACCTGAAGCCCCTTACAGTGATGATGTTCTACAGGTGCCTTTAATTCACTAAGGTCATCTGATTATATAAATTGGGTCTTCTTACTTAAAAGCTGTCGTTATCCATCCATGTTCAGACAAGGGAAAGAACAAATAGGGCTGGCATTATGGTTTACTTGTCCTTTATTTTA